TGGAAATTCGCTTACTCTGCAGGTTTGCTGCGGCGGGGGTATTCATAAGAATGGGAGTGAAGGAAAACTCATAGTTATTTTATATGTTGAAGATGGTTTTGTAGCTGCTACCTCGGAATCTGAAATAGATGTTTTTTTTTTGAAATGGTAGGTAAGGAATTCAAGATCAAAACCATGAATGCTTTACACTTCTTGGGACTTGAAATTTTGAAGAAACAAGATGGTTCAATTACTCATAGTCAAGCAGGCAGCAGGCTACACAAAAAGACTGTTAGAGAAATTGAACATGAACGATTGTAACCCTGGAAGAACCTCAATTGGTTTGGAAAACTTATAGATAGGAAAGGAAGTTGAAATAAAGGCAGAGACAACAAAGACTCCTCATAGGCAAGCTGTTGGAGCATTAATGTATTTATGTTGTGGAACTAGACCTGATATAGCATTTGCTATTTCATAAGTTTCAAGATTTTTGGACTGCCATACTTCTGAGCACTGGGATATGGTGAAAAAAATTAAATGCGCTTTGTGAAAGGCACAATGGACTATAGAATAAAATATGACAATCAGCTTGAGAATCAAAAGTTAACCATATATAGCGATGCTGATTTTGCAGGTGATATGGCAACTAGAAGGTCAACTACAGGTGTAATCAGCTTCTATGCTGGAGGACCAGTCACTTGGCTGAGTCAAAAACAATCATCCATTGCCATATCAACAACAGAAGCAGCTAGTGAAGCAACTAGGGAAGCAGTATGGCTTTATAGAATATTCAAAAGTTTAACAACCATGAATGAGAAGCCCATTATTTATGTTGATAATGAGGCAGCTGTTCGTTTATCGGAAAATCCTAAGTTTCATAAAAGAACAAAGCACATTGAAGTGAGACATTTTTTTTTGTTCGTGAGAAAGTACTTGATGGAACTATAAAAGTTACAAGAGTATCGTCAGAGAATCAATCAAATAGCTGACATACTGACGAAACCTCTGAAACCTGGACTTTTTAAAATCCTATGTTGTAAGATTGGTGTTTGTTTGTGATTTTCAGCCTAAACAAAAAGGGGAAGTATTGAAATAATTGTTTATTTAGTCTGCAAATGAACAAAATGTTTTGAAGTAAATCTTACTAATATTATAAATGTGAAAGTTTGTGTGTTTGTTTGTTTGTTCAATCATGCATTAAATACTGGCCGGATTGGGCTGAAATTTGGTATGATGATAGCTCACGTTCACGATTAACATATAGACATATTCTTATCTCAAAACTCCTTTAGGGCTCTGCCCCAGTGGCTCTGAAGTATCCCATGTTAACCTTATGAGTATTCATATTTAAAAGGATTTAAAGACTTTTCAGCTGTTTCAACTACAAAAGTTGGTTCTATGATATTCAATAGCATTATAAAGTTATAAAGTTTACCAACAGCGTGCAGCACTATTAAATTTTTTGAATTAATGACAACAGCTAATTTGAACTAAGCAGAAAACAAAAAGCTGTGATACACAATAAGAGATAGGCCTAACTTTACTTTTTTCTATTGCTAAGGTGCTGTGGTAGAACATTATAGCTATGGTAGATGTGCTATACTATAGTGTACCGAAAATGAAAAGAACAAAATTTTCTTAAACAGTTTCCTCTCCCATTGCAAACGCAAAGTACGAGTATAACTGCAATAACAGTTTTATGCTTATATGCCAACCCCGTACAAAGGACGTGTACTCTGCTAGTCATAACTTATGGTTTATTGTTTTTATAATGTTTGTTTACTTGTTGTAATGTATTCAGTTTGTGATTTTGTCAGTAAAACTACAAGGAATTATTTTTGTTAAAAGCAGAGTTTTATTTAAAGATAAGTAAAGGGTGTCCCAGTAAGAACGCCGGATTTGAGGAGCGTCTTATCCTTATCAGTATTTCAATAGGAATTCCCAAATTATCAGCGATGTTATCAGTATTAGGTCCCATTTGTAGTCATGAATCGCTACATGACGGAACAACGTGTGGTCATAGTTAAAGTGCTCTACAAGCAAGGAAGCTGCGCACTATTTACGGCCGGGACAATGCACCAAATGATCCATCTGTCCGAAGATTGATTTATAAGTTCGAATAAATTGGCTCAGTTCTATTTTGGGGATATTTAAAGTTGCTTGTTTTCGCCAATAATCCTCAAACAATCCAAGACTTGAAGGAGGAAATGATTCGTTCCATTAATGGAATTCAACAGGAAGTGTGTGAAAAAGTGATGGAAAACTTTGTCAAGAGATGTCGAGCTTGTCAGTATTCAGCAGGTTGGCACTTACAAGACATAATACTCTATTACTAATCGAAGATACTATGCTTTAAGATTCATGTTTCATATTGTAAATTTAGTGAGAAAATATATGGTTTGTTAACATTTCAAATCCGGCGTTCTTATTGGGACACCCTTTAGTTTACAAAGACATTTAAATGTATTAAGTTTATACTTATATGTGTCCGTTAGCACGTTAACTTGAGTTAAAAAAATCAACTGATTTTGATTAAATTTGGTACAAGCGTGTAAACTTACATTATTGAAACAAGCTCGCGAACCAGCATGATCGGACCGGGGTTTAATGGGGTAAAAATTTGGTTTTTCTCATTTTTGACCTCAGATCACAAAATTTCTCAATAAATTTTAAAGAGCTTTAAAAATAAATAATTTAGTATATTGAAGTGATTTTGTATAATTTTATTGATTTTGGAGAAAATTTAAATCGACCTAAATGTAATTTAAAATTTCCATTGTACTGTTGCAGTTTGCTTGTTTTTATATTTTCATCAAATGAAATGAAATGAAATGAAATATTTATTTGTCACATAGAATTTACATAATTGTGATACATCACCAGTAAATATTTTATGACACGTCAGTTTTTCAAACAAAATAACATGATATTATTTATTTTATTTCATTGTAGTTACCATAGTAATATATTAAAAAATAAGGTCAAAAGATTAAAATATAACAAAAAGAGTTAGTTACAAAAAAAATCATCAACTGAATAAGGACAAAGTAGTTCCAAATGTTCCTTAAGTAGTTTTTTAAAAATATCCATCTTTTCTGTCAATTTGATTCGGTTAGGGAGGTGGTTGAATAGCTTCCTACCCATATACAAAGGTGCTTTCTCATAAATAACTGTTCTATGGATAGGGAACTGAAGAGTGTTTCTATGTCGAGTGTTATATGGATGTTGGTGATTTTGTGATGAGAATGAGGTCAAGTGTTTTTTAACAAATATACATAGTTGATATATATACACAGCATGAATTGTTAATAGTTTCAAATGTACAAACAGAGGACGACAAGATGTACGAGGTGCAGTGTCAGTCAAAACTCTTATGGCCTTTTTTTGAAGAATAAAAAACCCATCTATGATCGGAGAGCTGCCCCAAGATACGAGGGTTGTTTTTTTTCAACCTCCGATAGGCTATGAACAAAAGACCAGTTCATATAAAACATTAAATTTATTACCAAAAGTTTGGTCCATTTATGGTTACTTTTTGACATAATCACCAAAGAGATTGAGACATTAGCTATATCTTTGCACCAGCTTTTTAATACCCTCTTCAAGAAAAGTGGCCGCCAGTACATTCCAAAAAACAAACAAAATTCAAAAAACAAAAAAATTTCAAAAAAATAAAAAAATCAAGAAAAAATAAAAAAAGGACTTTAAAATGTCTAGAAATTCAGTAAACAAATCAATAATGGTGAATCTGTGGTTTATTTAACCATTCTGCCAACTTGTTGAACCAGCTCATTACTGTCGTTTCAGATGACTTAGTTCAATAGTTTGACAGGATGGTTAAATAAACCACAGATTCACCATTATTGCTTTGTTTACTGAATTTCTAGAAATTTTAAAGTCCTTTTTTATTTTTTCTTGATTTTTTTGACATTTTTTGTTTTTTTGAATTTTTTTTGTTTTTTGAATGTACTGGCGGTCACTTTTCTTGAAGAGGGTATTAAAAAGCTGGTGCACAGATATAGCAAATGTCTCAATCTCTTTGGTGATTATGTCAAAAAGTAACCATAAATGGACCAAACTTTTGGTAATCAATTTAATGTTTTATACGAACTTGTCTTTTGTTCATAGCCTATCGGAGGTAGAAAAAAAAACAACCCTCGTATAATGCCATATGAAGCCCTGGACATAAAATAGGAATGGTAAACAGTCAAAGCCGCATTTAGTCCCGTTGTTTTGAACATGACCCTTAATCCAAACAAAGCTTTGGCTAACGATTTAGTCACCTGAAATTGATGTTCTGTCCATTTTAAATGTTCATTCATATACAAACCCAGAAATTTTCTGAAGCCTTAATTTGTTCCCCAGAATCCAAGCTGATGGTTACCTTTTCTGTATTTAACTGTGGATTGTGAAAATGAAGTAAGTGTGTTTTTGAACAGTTGAGATGAAGACCATTTTGTTTTAACCAAAGTTCTATTTTGTTCAAATTTTCCGATGCTTTGATAGACGCTAGGGCAACAGATGGGGCTTTGACCAACACAGTAGTGTCATCGGCAAATTGTATGATTCTGGAATCCAATGTAGCAGCTAGATCATTTATGTAGAGAATAAAAAGAAGAGGTCCAACTTTAGACCCTTGAGGAACGCCATGAAGAACCGGACACCAGTTTGAGAAATTGTTATTTATTTAAATTTTTTATTTGACAAATTTGGCAAATTTATTTATTTTAAACTAACCTATTAATATTCAATCAAAAACCTACTTTATTATCCTCCCTTCTTAGCAGCGAACCTAAGGAAAATACTAGTTAGGCCTACACCAAATGTTATTTAAATACGGAATAAATCTAACATGTTTGAGGGAATACCCATATTTGTGTGAAAATCCAATCAGGCAAATGGAAATTTGCTTAGTCTGAATTTGCTACGGCGAGGGTATTTGAACTATTCAAAAGTTAGTCAATGCAAAGATAACTTTGAAAAACAATATTTTATCATATTTCCTATTTTTTCAGGTTTCTGCAATGAGTGCCAAGTTTAAACAGAAAAAAGGCTTTAATAAGAGTCATGGACCAACTTCTCGTAAAGATTTGCGGAAACAGATGCGCAAAGAGAAGAAAGCCAAAAAGAACGAATATTTTAAAAAGAAGAACATAAAAGGTGTAATTAATGAAAATAAAAAGCCAGGAAAACCCAAATTTAATTATAATCTTAACACGAAATGTCCTCCCAAAATTGTCGAAGACCACAAAAAAGTTGAAAATGACCCAAAAGATAATAAAATCCCCACAAAACCCCAGAAAAGTTTCATTGACTTACAAAATAAACTACACAAAGAAGAAATGAGGGAAAAATCGAAACTAGAAAGAGGAATAAGAAATCAGAGAAAAAAAATGCTCATGGAAGCCAATAAAGAAGAGGACAAAGAAATCAAAAGACTAGAGAAACAATTAAAACTTAACAAGAGAAAGTCCAAGACTGTTCCAAAATCATTTGTCGATGAAGGTTTGGATTGTATCCTTTTTCTTTAGTTTTAGTTCATTGTTCATTTTTTTCAAATCAGTTTCTAATTTAATAGCTTTTTTGCTACACTACTCTATTTTAATGAACTTTCCACGCAAGGATTTAGTCTGTAAAAAGCTGTTTGCCACCTGCTTAATTAAATGTAATTTCACTGCTTACTTAAACTGCTTACTGCTTACTGCTGTTCTTCTCCTCCGTAGTCATCAAGATTGGTAGGGTTGCCATTTCCCCGGAGATGGTAGGGTTGCCATTTCCCCGGAGATTACCGGATTTCAACGTTAAAAATTTAGCTCCGGGGAATTTCTGCAAAAAGTGAGAAATCTCATCTTTTTTACTCTCTATTAAAATACATTGTATAACGGCAATTTTGGAATAAATTAAATGTTAGTGTTTGCAAATATTGTTATGCAATGACTGAAAAATGCAACTCTTGAACTCTGTAGTTTTTTTTTTCTTAGTTTTACTTTGGTCAGTAACGTCAGCTTAGTTTATCGTCTGTTTCATTGCTCCCAGTCCTATTCGCGTCTGCCGGCCAGTCCGAAGTCCGAAGGTATCCGTGTTCACTACCAGAGCCAAACCAAGTCTAGCAGAAAATAGAGCATTTTGTTACGTTATTCGTTATTTTTAGTGAGATGTGACAAACAAGATGCAAATTTTATGCTTTTGCATATCATATTTTAGTATTGAAATTGTAGCACGAATATTGAACAGAAACGGTATGGATTAATAAACATAAACAAATGACGTCACTGGCCCGAATGTCAATAGGCCGACTAATAGCCTTAACAACAACTGGTTTGGACGTTTTTTTACAGTTCCATTTAAATATTAATAAAAACGTGTTTACTTCCGGGCAGGTGACATAATTTGTTTATGTGTATGACCCATACCGTTTCTGTTATAATAATTATTTGTGCTATGTAGGTATACAATTTTTTTTACTAGCCCGTAAATTTGTATTTACTATAGTGGGGCCCGCTAGCTAAAATCTACTCTTTTTAACAAATTACCATATGGCAACCCTAAAGATTGGGGGAGGCGTAGTCTTTTTCTTTTTTTTCTGTTCTCATTTTCATTTTTTCTGGTTTTGTTGTTTATATTTTCTGGCTTCTATTGTCTTCAGTTAAATATATGTTCATCCATGAATTTGTTTTAGGTTGTAGTAGGGGCGTTCGAGGAGATAGTTTTTCAGTTGGGTAGTGAATCTTTTTGTGTCTGTAATACTTTTAAGCCAATTTGGTATTAGCATAGACAAAAAGAATTAAATATATACTGTCAGCCGTGCTGTAGTTACCATGGTTATCATAGGTTCTGGCGCACATTGCTGGGAGTGCCGTGAAGTTTTGTAGAGCGTATGCCGTAACTACATGGCGCTCCCAGCGGTGTGCGCCAGAACCTATGGCGACTGCAGCACAGCTGACGGTCTATATTTAATTAATTTTTGTCTATGGTAGTAACTTTGACTATTAATACAATAGTATTAGCTTTGACTTCAGTATCCAATAGTTAATATCCATAGTAGTACAGTCTAACCTTGATATAACGAACCTCGATACAACGAATTCCTTGATATAACGAATTTTTTTAAATCCCCTAGAACTCTCCATAAGACACAATGTATATTTTACCTCTACATAACGAACAAACCATAACAACGACCTTGATTTAACGAATTTTTAGTGATTTCGGCTAAAATAAGACACCTCAATATAGCGAATTTATCATTATCAGAACCTCTACATTGCGAATTTAACCTCTGCATAACGAATTGTCTACGTCTTTCCCTCGATATAACAAATCCCCCACCCCATTATTGTTTTTGAAAAATCTGTTTCTTTATCAAATGAAATGGAAAGGTGACGTCATCGCTTGCGCTAACATTCGTCTGCTCCGTTTTACACATCTCCGTCTGCTGTCGCTGCGCGCGCTATGTTGCAACTGAGAACGAGAACTGATATTATTCACTGAGGACTGATGACGACGTAATGTTTAGTAAGCTGTGATTGGGCGATAAGTAACTATGGTGAATTGTACAATTTTTGGATAAAGAGAAACCTAAGAAAGAATATAAAAACAAAACCAAAGAGAAAGAATAGCAACATCCTTATTTTAACATTCCTTTTTCGAGTGTTTTTATTATCTTTAAATTGGCTATGATTATACACTTTTATAATGACTTAATTTATTGTTTTCAATACGATTTTTGTCAACTAGTAACACCAATGCTACAGTTAATGATTATTATTGACATTCCTCTGTTGTGATAAATCAGTTAAGTAGCCTACCGGCCTATCACGAGCAGTAGCATACAAAACTTTCTACTACTGTTTTGTTTTGTTCTTTTAGTACAGTGCAATTAGCTTAAAAAAAGAGCAAACCGGGACATCCAAAAAAAAGTTTCAAACCAGTGCCATATTGTTGAATAGACTTCCCTCAATGTGTAAAAAAAAGTTACACTGATTTGAGTGTCGGGTTTGGGGGGGAGGGGGTAAAAATGGGGTTAAAATAGGACTTTTTTTACTTTTTCACAAATACCTCAAAAACGGTGCGTTTTTCTTCAAATACAATGAATTACAAAAATAATCTACATTAAATTTCGAACAAAATGATACCATACAATACCTATCTACTATGAACGGTTCAGGAGATATTGGGGGGTAAATGTGATTTTTCCTTAAAATTCTAAAAAAATTGGTTTTTAAATAGTGAAAAACCATGAACACCCATAGAAAAAGTTTCTAATGAGTGCCAAATTGTTCAATAGACCTCCCTTAATATGTGTAAAAAAGTTACACTGATTTGAGTGTCGGATTTGGGAAGTAGGGTTTAAAGAAAATGGGGCAAAAATAGGACTTTTTTTACTTATTCGCAAATACCTCAAAAACGGTGCGTTTTTCTTAAAATACAATGAATTACAAAAAAAACTTACATTAAATTTCGAACAAAATGATACCATACAATACCCATCTACTATGAACGGTTCAGGAGATATTGGGGGATAAATGTGATTTTTCCTTAAAATTCTAAAAAAATTGTTTTTAAATGGTGAAAAACCATGGACACCCACAGAAGAAGTTTCTAATGAGTGCCAAATTGTTGAATACACTTCCTTAAATATGTAAAAAAAAAGTTACACTGATTTGAGTGTCGGGTTTGGGGGGAAGGGGGTGAAAATGGGGTGAAAATAGGACTTTTTTTTACTTTTTCGCAAATACCTCAAAAACGGTGCGTTTTTCTTAAAATACAGTGAATTACAAAAATAATCTACATTAAATTTCGAACAAAATGATACCATACATACCTATCTACTATGAACGGTTCAGGAAATATTGGGGGGTAAATGTTATTTTTTCTTAAAATAAAACAAATTGTTTTTTAAATGGTGAAAAACCACGGACAACCCATAGAAAAAGTTTCTAATGAGTGCCAAATTGTTCAATAGACCTCCCTTAATATGTATAAAAAAGTTACACTGATTTGAGTGTCGGATTTGGGAAGAAGGGTTTTGAGAAATGAGAGGGGAATGGGGCGTCCTTTACTATTTTACAAATATCTCGAAAACGGTGCCTTTTTCTTAAAATATAATGAACTACAAAAATAATCTACATTAAATTTAGAACAAGATGATACCTTACAATACCTATCTACCATTAACGGGTAAGGAGATATTAAAGGGTAAATGTGATTTTTTTCTTTCAATTCAAAAAAGTTGTTTTTTTAGCGAATTTCCCATATAGGGAATAAGCTATTACCGTGGTACTCATGGTAAGACCTGGACCCGGGACCGATTTATTTTTTCGTTTTGAGGTCCCTAGAGGCAAAAAACACCATCCGTTCAAATTCATATATATATATATATATACACACAATTGTTTGGATAAAGGGCTACTATTATAAATAATAAAGAAAGCATACTAACTCAGTACCCTGAAATTATTTTTATTTTTAAAACTCAAAAATGATCCGATTTTGATGAAATTTGGTACAAACGTGTAAACCTACATTTATTCGAACGAGTTCGCGAACCAGCATGATCGGACTATGGGAACAGGGGTTTATGGGGGGTTTTATGGGGTAAAGATAGGTTTTTCCCATTTTTTACCCTAAAAACACAAAATTTTACAAATTTGTCATAAGTGTTGCTAGCCTATTTCCAAGCGTACACGCTTACTAATAAAATAAAACGTGAATAATAAAAGCACGCTGTTTTGTGTTGTTTGGTTGGAATACTGGTGTGCGACAAAGGAAAAAACCGTACGACAACGTAAAAACTGCGACAAAAGTAAGTATATGCAACAATTAGCAGCTTTCTGTACTATAATCTGCTAAATATAATATGTGCAAGGAAGCCCACTTTGTCGGGTGACTGTAGGAAAATAACTATTGTAACACGGATATTTTTACTTAATAAATAATCAATGATAAAACACACTTATGAATCAAACGGTAGAAAGTTCACTGTGTTCACGTATCTAGGTAGATTTGTTGTTTCAGGTAGGTAAGTCATTAGTTAAATTGTCGCTATATATGTGTTAAAAAGGAAAATAAAAAGTGTTACTTAAAAAATTTACAAAATTACTTATGAATAAAATTCCCTACACCGTTTTCACACCCTCCTACCCGCAACCGGCAGGAAAATCAGTGTAACTTTTTTACACATGTTAAGGCAGGTTTACTTAGCGATTTGGCACCAATTACAAACTTTTTAATGGGTGTCCGTGGGTTTCCTCCATTTAAAAAAGCCAATTTTTTATTGCATCAGAAAAAATCACATTTAGCCCTCTATATCTCCTGAACCGATCATAGTAGATAGGTATTGTATGGTATCAATTTGTTCGAAATTTACGGTAAATTATTTTTGTAATTCATTGTATTTTAAGAAAAACGCACCGTTTTTGAGGTAGGCCTATTTGCGAATAAGTAAAAAAAGTCCTATTTTTGCCCCATTTTCTTTAAACCCTACTTCCCAAATCCGACACTCAAATCAGTGTAACTTTTTTACACATATTAAGGGAGGTCTATTTAACAATTTGGCACTCATTAGAAACTTTTTCTATGGGTGTCCATGGTTTTTCACTATTTAAAAACCAAATTTTTTTAGAAATTTAAGGAAAAATCACATTTACCCCCCAATCTCCTGACCCGTTCATAGTAGATAGGTATTGTATGGTATCATTTTGTTTGTAATTCATTGTATTTGAAGAAAAACGCACAGTTATTGAGGTATTTGTGAAAAAGTAAAAAAAGTCATATTTTAACCCCATTTTTACCCCCTCCCCCCCAAACCCGACACTCAAATCAGTGTAACTTTTTTTTACACATTGAGGGAAGTCTATTCAACAATTTGGCGCTGGTTTGAAACTTTTTTTTTGGATGTCCCGGTTTAGGTCTAATTGCACCGTACTATTTACAAGGTTTTTGACTACGCAATACAGTGTTTGGCTAGGTTTTAGGAGGGTTAAAACAAGCTTTGATTTTAAACTTACAGTTTTTAACCTGTATCAAGGTCAATGCCATTTTCATGATTGCGCAATATTCAAGATCCCTCCCCTTTTTTATGCCGGATAATTTAGGTTCTACTGTACAATGTTAACACTGTACTGTAAAGTATTGTAGCCTATGCTACTTTAATTGTGTTTTAATGATGTCTAATCCCGACCTATATTGACCGACGCTGGTTCTGAACCTCGACTTAGCGAAATTCCTGCAAACATAACCTCTATATAACGAACCCCGTTTTAACGAAATCCTTGATATAACGAATATTCAGTTCGGTCCCTTCAGATTCGTTATACTGAGGTTGGACTGTATATATAGGTTGTAAAGTTTTATCCCTATATATGTTGGGGTTCTTGCAGTTTTTTCCAGTCTATGCTGTGGCAAATTTAGGTCATTTTTTTCTTCTGGTATTGTAGTTATGGGTTTCAGATAGTTTGATGGGATCCAGTTTTATTGCTCGAGTTATTACTTCAACCTGTAAGATTTGTTTAAAGAATGGTTTGCAGTGTTCTTGATAGTGGAGATTATTTAGGATTCTGTTGCTTCTTTTTGTAGTAGCCTATAAAAATTGATTGTAAAAGGTCTGTACGTGCTGCGGCCCAGGCAAAAATTCCAAAGTGGAGGTTTGACTCTATAAGTTCATGGCAGGCAATTTTGGTTGTAGTAAAATCGGTCAGATTTGTTATCCTTCTCATGGTATAAATTTATGTAGATAGTTTTTGTTTCAGGAAGTCAATATATTGTTCACATTTTAAATTTTCGTCTATTTGAATTCCCAGATATTTAGTATGATCTGATTTGTTTGGGTCTGATTTATCTAAAGGACCTTTGTTTGAGTTTGACGTGCAGGAAAATTTTATTGTAACAGTTTTTGTGTTATTGATTTTAAAGTCTATTGATTTGCAGAATTGTTCAATATAAATATATTCTATATCATAATGGTACTACTGTAGGGTAATAATTTTACCTACGACCGTTTTTTAAAGTAGCCGTCTCAATACAGTTCTTAGAATTGAAAAGTATCTCATAACAGCATTGTTTACTTTCAATAACACGAGTAAGGGAATGTAATTAGGTTTAATGATTGTAAGAAGAGAAGTAATAATTTATAAATAAAAAACATTTTTAAACAAAACGTTTTTAAACGCCCTAAAAAGTAGAAAATAATTTATAAATATGTTGAGAGAGTATAAATACTTGTATGATTTATAACGAAAAACGTTGGGTGCATGCAATTAATTGATAATAATACATTAGTTCAGTAGGTGAAGGTAATTGTAAACTATCTATTGCATGCACCCCACGTTTTTCGTTTTAAATCATACAAGTATTTATACTCTCTCAACATATTTATAAATTATTTGTAAATTATTTTCTACTTTTTAGGGCGTTTAAAAACGTTTTGTTTAAAAATGTTTTTTATTTATAAATTATTTTATACTTTTTAGTTTTAATGTGTGTGCATGTTAAATCTATTTCAAGCGTCTATATCAGATTAAGACAGAGGCATGTGGGAAATCTAAGGTTTATTTGAGTTTCTTTGCATATAATTAAGACTCAATAAGACTCAATAAGAATAATAAGAATAATAATAAGAATAATTATGTATTAGATTGAATGTATGGCCTACCTACTAACTATAAATATATCAATCCATGGTGGAAGGAAAAAACATAGGTGTGCTATTCCCACATATTCTGACGTCACTCGGATTGCAAACAAAAGATCACCTGATTGTAACTGTCAAATTAGTATGTATTTGTTTTGATTGGATTGTTATTGTTTTTATAATAATAAAAACAATAACAACCAAATCAAAACAAATACATATACTAATTTGACAGTTACAATCATGTGATCTTTTGTATGCAATCCGAGTGACGTCAGAATATGTGGGAATAGCACACCTATGTTTTTTCCTTCCACCATGATATCAATCTATTTGATTTATTGTTTACTTTATAGATTACTAAATAAACAAATGACATTATTAACATACTCCTTTATATCTGCAATCAGATTGTTTATCTTTATTTTGAAATGTTTGTTTGTATAAAGAATCTCTTGGGAGCAGAACCTCTTAACCTCTGCTTTTTGAACTGTCAAATTTAAGTATTTACAGCTGACTTAAATTAGTTGATATATTTACATCCTTTTAAAATGTAAACATGAAAAATTTGGAAGCCCATGGGGCGTAGCCCAAGGGAAATATGAAAATTAAATGATATAATATCGCATTGTCATGCATTTGTGAGCTATGTTTCAAATTTCAAGTCTCTAGCTTATCGGTTACATTGTTTAAAATTGATATCAAAATTTGTAGGAAAGCGAGCTAATAAAAACAAGCCCATGGGGCGTAGCCCAAGGGAAATATGAAAATTAAATTGTATAATATTGCATTGTCTTCCATTTGTGAGATATGTTTCAAGTTTCAAGTCCCTAGCTCATCGGGAAGTTAGTATAAAATCGGTTGCAAAATTTGTAGCGGACAAGAAAGTGACCTAATAAAAACGTTTTAAAATTGTAATCCTTCAAATTCTAATCAGCTGGTACGACCAATTTAATTGTTAATGAGTGGTGCAATTAGTGGTTGGTACAATGAGTCGTTGCATCACTGTCAGCCACAATGAGAGGTTATATAAGAAAACATAACCTCTTTTTGAAGTTATGAATAGTGATTGTTAATGAATAAAAACGGTCGTAGATACAGTAAACTCCCTCTTATCCGGACACCTTTTAACCGGACTACACTCGACGGAAGTGACATCTCTTTAACCGACAATTTTTATCAGCACATTGGTTTAACCGGACTAGATCGCCAGGATGTGGGCGATACTGAAATGACTGTTCTCGTGGGAAAGATTTGAGACCAGTGATCACATGTCTAAATACAATGCTCTCCTAAATTTAAATTGTAGAATATCACAGTAAATAGTCCATTTTAACGAGTTTTTGGGGACCTCGGCTTAACCGGAAAACCCGTTATCCGGACTGGCCTCGGTTCCGAGGAGTCCGGATAAGAGGAAGTCTACTGTAGTGTAAACTTAAGTAAATAGTTCTAGTTAACTCTTAGAAGTTTTTAAATTTTAATTAAATTTCTTAAATTTCTACTCGTGTCATTAACACTATTTTTACAGTTGCATTAACTACTAGTCTACATGTTGTACTCGATTAAACTTGACTAACTGCTGTAAGCTGATGACTTCCTCTCATGGGTATACTTTCATAATCATGTTATTTTGGAGTGTTAATACTTGAGAAATAAAATATACAAATATTTAATATGTTAGTGACAGCATTTTACATTGATATGTATTTTTATATATTTTTTTAAAAACATCATTTGAGTATTTTAAAACAATCTAACTTAATAGTTGTATTCTAAAAGTACTAACACTTATTGCTATATTTGACTTAACCATTCAGGGCTTCTAGAAGTGTGTGACACGGAGAAGCTGCGTGAGTCAGACAGTCTGCAGGCGAATTTGCAGGACTCAGGGTCAGAGTTTGAAGATGATTTTGCTATTGCAACAGGACAAGGAAAGAGGAAGTTGAAAATTAAAGAAGATTCTTCCAAAAGACAAAAGAAAACACCTGATTCACAAGGTAAAAGCAGTAACGAAAGCGATTCTGATAACAAATCACAAAGTGAGTATTCTCTAAACGATGACGAAAGTGAAGGAAATTACGATTTTGAACAAGAAGAAAGTGATCAAAATCTGAGTGATATAGAAAGTGATGTAAATCAGGATGAGGAAGAAGGTAGTGCCAACGGAAGTCAAGACGAAGGTAGTGAAAACAATGAGAGTGATAGTGAACTCCAAGATGAATCAAACAGCGACGACAGTAAAGATGAATTTGAAACTGATGAAGAAGAAAACAATTGTAATGAAGATGAAGAATCGGACAATAATATAAAGACCAATAACAGTAAAAGAGAACTTGAAAATGGAAAGTGGGAAGACATTTATGGGAGACTTAGAGACGAAAAGGGAAATGTTTTGCAGGTTTGTAGATGTATATTTTACTAACTTTAAGTACCATTCCATGGATGGGATAAATCAATGCAACATTGACATGAAGATGTGTTTATAAACACGAAACAGCTGTAGTCAAGCAACTACAATCGAGGATCACTTGACGGATACAGGTAATTTAAAAATTTTGTTGTAAAAATCAGTGATCCAGAGGCTATACCATAAAACACAAATTTATGGTAGCAAGCTATGAGTTGTTGTTTAGGTTTAAAATCTTTCAAATATGTTTAAGTTATAAGGGCAAGTGGGGTAAGTGTACGCCCCGAATCACATAGTACAACTTTGACCACAGATTAAAAAATACCCGTAGGTGCAATAAAAATCAAATTTGCTGAGCTTATTCTTTGGAATGTGAATTTTGTGTTTTTGATCTGGGGTAAGTGTACACCCCCCCCCCTTATTGTAGCTTTCCACTGCATATTACTTGATGTTGGGACAAGTGGTTTGTAGAGGGAAAAATTAGCTTTCTTTTGATGTTTGATTTATCAAAATATCTCATACGGTTCAGGAGTTATAAACTTTTTTGTGAACCTCTGCAAGTGACAACAAAAACCCCAGCTTTATTAGAAATTCTAAAGAAAATAAAAACATTCTGATTCCACTATTCCATTTTCTCATTTTCTGCTCTTTGAGATATACACTAGCCCCTAACGTGTTTTCACACAGGGAAAGTGTATGTCCCCCCTCTAACTCTCCAAAATTGACTTTTTGGGCTATAAAAATGTAATTTTTGAATTCCCTTTCAAAAAATAAGTTAGATCACCAAATTTCAGTTACTTATCCTTGTATTTCAACTTTTAGTAATTTTTTTAATTTTCCGAGCGGCACATGTGTTTTGAGTAGAAACGTAAGAGGTTCTTAACCACGTCTAAACTCATAGAAATCATAGCAAGAGAATTTGTTTAGTGATTATAATTTAATAGAGCATAGTTTGAAATTCCATTGGCCAAGTTTTCAAATTTTTTTATTAATAAACAAATTTATTATTAGCTGGAAGTCCACTTGCCCCGGGCGTACACTTACCCCACTTGACCTTAGCAGAAGTATAAAGAATATTTTATTTGCTGGTTTACTAGTAAACGTGTGTTTTAACTGTTATTAGTATTACTGTGCAAGTTAAATTCAACTGTGAATAAAACTTTTAGGTGTGTCTATCGTATTCCTAAATGCTTTTTTATAAGATCTACTTATTCTTTTATTAGGTTCAAGAAAAACAAAAATATGTTCCACCTCAATTGCGAGCCAAAGCACTCGGCCAGGACAAAAAAAAAGTGGAGGAACTCGCTCAACTGAAAAAGCAGCTGAAAGGTCTTGTCAATCGCTTGGCAGAATCAAACCTACACAGCATAGCAAACCAGGTAAGTTTCATATTAAATTGAGCGATAGGAGAATCAAGAATAATGTGTGCAGAACATGTGTTTGTGAGTTAATGGCCCAGTCGGTAGTACAAAGGACTTTGGTTCCATGACAGTGATATCGTGGGTTTAGATCCTGTTTCCTGCCACTACATTTTATCAGTACAGATCGAACTCTTGTATTGTATTGGCACACTCCTTGCTTTGCTGAATACTTTTCATGCACAGGGCTGAGGACTATGTGGAAAGGCAAAAGCAAGGTTAAAAAAGGAGCCAACGTCTTAAAATACATGTTGATAGTCTAGCAGTTGTTTTTGTTAACCCTCCAATTGGCAATGGACAAACTCTGTAGTGGCGAGGCATTTTTTTGTGAAAATTTGGATAATCCAAACCAACAGGGCAAACCTATTAAACCAACCGTATACTTGAATTGTTCGTAATGAAATGAAGAATTTGAAAATTTGGTAACAGAATAAATATTTAGAAGAGTATGTATTGGCATTAGGTAAAAAATATATATATAGTAAATTGGTTTATGAGTTTTGAAATTTTAAAAGTAAAACTTTGCTGCGTGAACCAAAAACTCTTTATGTGAAATTCAAGATACCGGTAAACAAAATGTTTGGAATGTATTTCCCTACATGAAAATGTAAAAAAATTTCAATTACCATTTTGTTTTAGAAAGTTATGACCTGAAAACCAAAAAGTGGCAAATTCCACATTTTGCGCTACTAATTTCAAACAAAAAACAAATAAATTTTTTCTCAAGAAACGCTGTAAAAGTACACATTTTTGTTAAGGCAATAACATAAGAAATTAAATGAAGTAAGAATTGTTCATGTAAAATGATCATTAGGCCTACTGTAAATCTTTATGACTTTTATGAATCTTTATATTTTTTTAGAAAAAACATTTTGTTATTCAAACATGTATATTATTTTTCAGACACATAAAACCCAAATACCAACTAGGCTATATAAAATGAAAGTAAATTTATTCCTCTACAAGAATGTATGTAGTTATAAATCCAAATCTAAATAAATAAACATTTCATAGTGTTTTATATAAAATGCTGCTGTGCCTTTTTCATTTGGCGATCAAATCGCTTCTTCACTATGAAGAAATGTTAAAAAAACGGGCTAAATGTAATGTCCCAAACTTAAAATTTAGTAAGTCTATAGTGTTTCATCTTCTTTAATGCTAAAGAAACAGTTAACAAACTAAATAGGTTCAAATTTACAACTAATAAATAAGACTAGTGCTCTTGTTGCTCGAATTCGAGCAATTGCAAAGTATTACAATTTCAAAACGAATAACAGTCATAATTTACGATGACTTAAAAGAGTCAACTTTAGGATAATGAAATGAATCACTCCACTCCAGTTATCGAAACTGAAAACGAAGTCGCTCTAAAAACGAAGGCTCTTGTGTGTATCATGTGTTTACTACTAACAGCTAGCTGTAATAAATACAAATTTTTTGTCTGATTAAGTAAACAAAATCTTTTCTACATAAGAAATATATTGGGATTTGATGGCCTGTGGGGCGAAGCCCGAGGACTTTTATTACAGGAATTGGTGAAAGGGGGCGTCTACACAAAAAATACTTTATTTTCACACATTGTTTGTAAAAATCCGTTAATTATTAACGGAGGAGTAGTGTTTCGTAGAAATTGCCTTCACGTATTATATATAAGGATTCAAAGTGATCAAGTCAAAAGACACAGTCAATCCCGCGATATTCGTTGTTGGTAAACAGTCAATAAAGTTCTCAAAAACCGGCAAAAAATAGTATCTCAAATTTCTAAAAGTTGCCTATAATGTTACATTTCAGTCAAGGCACAATAAATATTATCCAAACTAAACATTTAACTTACAAATTTACAACTTATAATCACGATGTAAACTAAAACCTACATAAAGTAAAATCATACAAAAACTCGACTTGTTAGTTTTCGGTCAACAGAGATTGAGGTTAGTTAGTCAGACAAATATTAACGAAAAGTAACAGCTGATAACTTCAGCACCAGTGGTGCAATCTAAAACAATTAAATACCACAATGCACAGAATTCCATGAACTTTCGAATTAGATACATTATCATATAGATAATTATATATTTCAGTGAATAAAATGTGTTTTACGACTGCGACTATTATAGTCGCTCTGCCACTTCACGAACACGTAAAAATTGATTAATTTTGTGTTGTTCTGAGATCATATGTAATTATATCAAAATTATTTTTCACCATAATATAGGAAATTTCTTCCTTATTGCAGTGGTACCACCTGTTTCTTTGTAGACAAAAAATATCCCTTGTTATGAATTTTTGAAACATACAGTACCGTGTTTGGCAGTTTTGTGACGCTTACATGGTGCAACTGACTTTACTTGAAGTTTTCGTTCACTTTATTGCTCAATTACAGTGATCCCTTTGTGAGATAAAGTTCATCTATGTAACTAAGTGCAAGTTTAGAATCTTATATTTCTTAAGGTATAAAAATTATTTCATTTTACTATTGTTTTTAACCATGTATTTGGAGTTAACCAAAACCTTGCAAATTGCGACTATTATAGTCGTTGCCAATAAAGAAACCACCTAGTCGCACTGCCAGTTAGAGGGTTAAATTCTACAGTGACAGGTCAGTTGTAAGAATTTTCACGAGTACTTAATAAATTCTCTTCTTACATTTAATGATCCGTTACTCAAAATTCCACTCTACACATTAGCAAACTAAACCCCGCCAAAATGTTTCTGCCCCTGAAGAAAATTTGAGTTGCGCCTTGATTGTATGTAATGATCTTTGCATGATGACAATTCAGGGAAGCACAAGTCAATGCGTTGTATATGCTGTTATACAATGATTTGTTTACTATATTGAGGTTGTTCCAGATTGATGAGCTGTATATGCGGAACAGTAGGAGCGACATGAACGACTCCCTCCTCAGTCTTATATCTGAGGCTCTGATATTTCATGTGTTGACTCCTGAGAGACTAGTGATTGAACACAGTGCTCTCATTGCAGTGCTCCATGCTAATGTGGGACTAGAAGTCGGTGTGTTGTTGTCAATTAAGCTTTTAATCACAATGTGTCAAGTTTATGACAGTAAGGTTTTAGGATTGAGGTAATAGGTTACTTTAGAAATACAGAATATGAGTCATCCAATAACTTAGGTCAGAAATTTGAAAATTAAAAAAAAAATTTTGGAGATTTAAATCTATATCTATCTATACTATAATATGAGTAACGGTTGCGCACAATGATTTCAAAAACGGCTCCTATGATTTCTTCTAAATTGTTAGGAATATCTTAGTTTCAGGCTAAAAACAATATTTGTGCTAGCCACTGTTCTGGAAAAATTAGCTTTTTGTTAAAAAATGTAAATGAAATTTTTCTTATGTCCTGGACATAAACAGTCTAGTACTCGTAATACCTAAAATACTGGATTACTAAGAGCCAGCAAAAATAACCTTATATTGAACATAGCGTAATTATTATTACAGCTGTTGTCAAGAATAAATATATTATTGTCATAGTCATAAGGCCATTTATTAGTGTTCCATTGAAATTGTACTGTCCACTTGAGTCCCACTGGTCCGAACATGGGTAATCCAAACGTCTGCTTAATCCGAACAAGTTCTAGAAAATGTTTGAAAATAATCGGCACTTATGTATTAATTACAGAGAAAATTAAGTTGTATATCGTAATCTTAGGGTGTCAAAATGAATTGTATATTCAATATTGATGGGGCAGTAGGGTCCCGGTCCCACATTATTGTTTTTTGATACATCCCAGTTCATATGGCAAAAATAATGGAAAGAAAACAAAAACTATCAGCTCGAAGATGACGTGATGAACTATCTAATACCGGTATTCTTGTTGTTTTAAATTCAATCTGTTTTCAATGTTAATTGATCGATGAATAATATTTTCCTTGTGCCTCTTAACTGAAATAGCAAGCTCTGGTGGACTATCACTACTTGGAGGAGCTTACAAGCTATTATGTAAACATAGAAATGAACAGTAAACATAGATGACAGTAATGTTAATTTACACAATATTACTTTGTTTTTTATGTTTTTTTATATATTTAAAATGGATATATCCTGGTAACATAGACTAATGATAACGTGTTGCTATAAAAGTACTTTCTTGGTTGCAGGAGCACATTTCCTTCAGAGTTTTGTACAGAGGTTTGACTTGTTGTTCAATCAAGGGCCAGAAGTTGAAGATAAAGAATTAGATAATATTCTTCTCATTATTTCCCATTTGTACAATTTTAAGGTAAGTCCCATTTGATTAAACCATTAAATTTTGAGGTTTTCATAGCACACAAGCCGCCCCTGCAGACATGAAAGTTCTATGCCCTGCAATTAGATGCCTATAACAATAGACAAATAGAATGAATTTATAGACCGGCAGCAGTGCTGCGGTTAGCATATGTTCCGGCGCCCACCGCTAGGAGTGTCGTGTAGTTACGGACTCCTCGGGACCGAGGCCAGTCCGGATAACCGTTTTTCCGGTTAAACCGACGTCGCCCAAAACTCGGTAAAACGGACCATTTACTGTATAAGCCGATAATTATTATTACATATTTAGACATGTGATCACTGGTCAGAATCTTTCCTACGAGAACTGTCGTTTCAGTACCGCCCATTTCCTGCCGATCCAGTCCGGTTAAACCGATGTGCTGATAAAAATTGTACTTAATTTTGTTTTTGATGGCCCATCTACAGACCGAGACCTTTTTTGGACACCTCTAAAAATTATTTCACCCTATACTTTTTCCAGGTGTTCCATGCTGTACTGATGTACAATATCTTGGACAAGCTTGTGGAGAGATTTGAAGAGAAGGAAGTTGAACTAATCCTTCTGGTATTGCGGTCTGTGGGGTTTAGTCTGCGCAAAGACGATCCTTTGGCCCTCAAGGATGTAGTCCTCAGACTGCAGAGGAAGGCTAACGACTCTGTCAAATTCAAGGACAAGTAAGTTAAACAATAAAATCCATTGTTGTAGCCCCGAAACTGCTATTTAGACTAGAAATAAGGTGAAGGTTATTAGGCCCTACCTCGTCTGCAGTTCCAAAATTGTAGTTTGTACTTTAGTAATGTAGTTACTAGGGATGGTCAAGTCTCAAAATTTCGGGAAATTTTAAATCTTGTTACATGAGACAAGATTTCTTTTTGGCCGAGATTTTTATCGAGACGAGAATAAAAAAAAATAAAATTAAAAACGCCTGCATAAAGTCAATGCAATACCCGCAATACAGGAGCGTGTTGTAGTTGTGTTTCCTTTGCGAAGGCGTTATTATTTAATTAATTCTTTTTTAAATGTAAATATTACTTAATGATTTAAATAATATTACTTTAATAACATTTGAGAAGTTTTGTTAAGTGTAAGCAGTGTAAGAAATGTTTTATTACTATAAAAAGTCAAAACAAGTAACTATTTTATAAAAATTAATATTGCTTTCTTTTATGATTTATTTTATTTTAGGATAAGTTGAACTCTATCCTAACTGGATATCACTATGTTTCCTAATCGTAGGCATTTTTAATAAGTTAGGCGTGATTAATAAAAAAATGTTATGCTGATGTTTTTTAATAAAAGATTGTAAATATTCTTGCCTATTATCATTATTTTTGTATAGTAAAAAAATAGTTTTGAGTAGTCATCTAACAATGTTAAAAAATCAGGTAAAATTTTGAACGTGCATTTCTGTTGTGTATGAGAAGGGAAATCCCGTCTCGATCTCGTCTCGAAATTTTATGAGAAATAAAAAATCTCGTCTCGTCTCGTCTCGAACTAAAAATCCAATCTCGTCCATCCCTAGTAGTTACATGTTTCGGTAGAATGCCATTGTCAAACTGTCGTAGTACAGGAACATCAAAATCCACTTATTGTAGCTTCGTCAGGTAGACATTTAGTTCACATACACATGATGACACATACACGACGACATATTCACAAAGACACGATTGACAAATAAAATACATTTAAGTAGGCCCTACCAATTTGTACGGCATTGCCGCGACCACAAGCAGGAACAGACTCAGTCTGTTGAGACTTAGTCTGACTTGAGTCTTGTTGTTTATTTCATCGTGGACAAAGAATTTTAGTTTTCAACGAAGAACTTGCCCCGTTGTCGAAAACTTGACCAAAAGTATGCATTTTGCAAACGCTGTTAATAAAACTTGTGATTGGAATTTAGTGAAACAAATAATAGTTGATGATAGTCGGCCAACCTATAAAGTTTGCTGATGTAATTTTACATATGCCACGACACGGTGACGACATAGTTAAGAGTCCTTGGAGGCTAGCGGCCATCTTGAATAATTTCAAACAGCTGTTGGAGAGTATTATCATGGGGTAGCGAATTTTTATCCCCCTGGAATTTTACCCCCTGGGCAAACGTGATGTCACAAACCAGGGGGTAAAATTCCGGCCGCGAACTTTAGAGTTTTGTGACATCAGCTCGATGGATTAAACGCGGAATTAAAACATATATTTTCACGGTTGTGAATTTAAGAATAAGAATAAGAATAAGAAGAATAAGAATCGTTTATTGCCGTTAAACATGTACATGCAATGGGCAAAGTCACATTTTTAAAATATCTTAGCCTACTTAAAAATAAACAGATGTATAGGCCTAGGCCTAGACTTTAACACAGAATGGTAACATTGAATCGTTGAAAGTCATTTTCAAGAACTCGTTAACACTATACATGGGGTTTTCCACTAACCAATCTGACAAAACTCTCTCAAATTTACTATTACTAACTTCTTTTGCGCTATGAGGCAGTTTGTTAAACAAATTAATACTAAGAACATTGAAAGACTTGAGGGTTTTACTTAACCTACAATGTTGCCTATAAATATGATGACTAGATCTTGTGAAATGGTTGTGGATTTGGTTTGACAAAGTGAGGTTATCTAAATTCTTCTTAACATAACATAAACACACCAAAAAATATATACATTTATCACAGTTAAAATCTTGGCTTGTTTGAACAAGGGCCTACAGTGCTCATCAGGGTCTACATTAAATAAAATCCTCACAGCCTTTTTCTGGATCACTAAAACTTCACTTATTTTTGAACTATTGCCCCCAGTACAAAATAGCATAGAGCAAAACACTATGAAAAAAAGCAAAATAACAAGATCTTAAGTAATGACTAGGTAGGCTAAATCTAAGGCGACGCAACATGTGAACAACTTTGGACAGCTTTGAACAAACCTTAGTAACATGAGTATCCCAAAACTAACTTAGGATCAAGATGGACACCTAAAAGTTTAACGCTATTGTCATCATCTGCCTCTTTCGGTGCTCTTACGTCTAGAGAGAAAGTTATATTCTGTGTCTTATTCAAGTTAAGGAGAAATTTGTTAGCTGCATACCATTCAGCTGCCTCTTTAAGAACTACTTCATTCATGGTGCAACAAAGGTCATTAAAATTTTTCTCGCTTCTAAAAAAGGTCGCATCATCAGCAAACATGACTGTACTAGCAGAGACATTATCAGGCAAGTCGTTAACCATAACCAAAAATAGGAATGGGCCCAGGACCGAGCCCTGCGGTATACCGTACTCAACCTGGGTAGCGACTGACATTGAACCCTTAACACTAACTTTATGTCGCCTATTTGTTAGATAGGATTCAAAAATTTTGATTTGAGGACCGACTACCCCATAATACTCAAGTTTTTTCAATAGTATGTCCCGGTCAACGCAGTCGAAGGCCTTGCTCAGGTCACATAACGAAGCTCGAGTGGCTAAGCCTCGCTCAAAACCCTCAATTACTGAGGAAGCAAGGACCCCGACCGCGTTGGCCGTTGACATACTAGGCCTAAAGCCAAACTGATCAGAAGAAATTAAACCATTGGATTCAAAGTAGTCACTAACCTGAGTTTTCATTACCACTTCCACAACCTTGGCAATGACGGGAACCACAGATATCGGCCTGTAACTGGCTGCCTCCTTTACATCCCCAGATTTATAGATAGGTATGAGTTTGGACAACTTCAATTCGTCTGGAAAGATTCCTTCGCTCAAACAAGAATTAACAAGCAAAGTTAAGGGCAAAATTACAACATCTGCAACATATTTCAAGAGATCGTTGGACATATCATATATATCCTGGTTTTGGATGACTTCAAGCTGGTTAACACTTTCAACACTGCACTAGGCTCAACACTTTGCCACACAAAGCTCTGCTTACACTTAGCACTTTATTCCTCAGAAGATCTTCAGCCGTTGTGGTTACTGGAGGGATGCATTACGTATCTGGGGATGACCTCCATGAGAAACCTGCTGTAGACCTCTGCAGTAGGTGACCTCTTTCCCTCGGAGCAGCATGAGTTCATCTCTCACCACTTGCCATGCAGCCTTGGTCTTGTTCGCAGCAGACTCTATGAAGTTCTCGTTAGATGTCCTTTTTGGCATTTTGAATGGCTTGCTTGTACAAGTTTCTTGCTGCTACGTAAGCCCTTCGATCGGTAGCACTCTTGGTATTATTTGCTATTATGTACAGGGACATAACGTAGTTCTTCTGTGCTTCAAGCTGGGGGGTATACCAGATGCCTGATTTACCCTTAGGAGTAGATAAGTGATTTGTCGACCTTCTGGGGAAACACCAGCTCATAATACCAATTAATACATTAAAAATTGTAGTACAAATTGTATTGGTATTTTTGTTATAGAGTAGGCTCTCCCAGTTAATAAGGGCTAACTGTTCTTTGAAAAGTTCCATTTTGTTATAGGTTATAGGTCTCACAATAACATTAGGGCGAGTTGCTTTTTTCTTGTCAACTTCACTGGGAAAGAGCATATCAGTAAGAATGACATGATGATCTGACAAAGGAAGTTTAACAACATTCGCCGAAATCATACACTGTTTCACATTCGTTACAACATTATCTAGGCAAGCAGGTCCTCGAGTAGGTTCCCAGACCGTGCATCGACAACCGACCAACTGAAGCGCATTATGAAGAAGTGAACAATTACTATCGTTCTTAAGCACATCTACATTGAAGTCACCACACATAACAACTTTGGCTTCAAACTTAGTGAAATAACTCAGTGTAGCTTCAAGTTGTTGCAGGAAAATTGTCATGTCACCAGCAGGAGATCTGTATAAGGATAATACTATAATCTTAAAGTTGATTAGCTTCACAGCACATATTTCAAAGTGAAGTTCAATACAGAAGGAGGATGTATCCAAAACTTCGAAGTCCGTAGCATTGGAGATATAAATTGCCACACCACCGTGGATAATGCTTGAGCGACAAAAGATGCTCCCCAGGCTATAACCTTCAAGGTTATAAATATCGTAGTTGCTGCTATTAAGCCAATGTTCACTAAAGCCAATACTGAAAAATGTTGCACCTTGAACAGCATGTCCAATTCGTCAATTTTGTTGATTAAACTTTGAATATTACTATAAAATATTGATATTTTGTTTAAATTAGTTTGCTGACCCTCTAGACTAGGGCTCGACTGTACTGCTAAAGCTGAAGCTAGGCCTACCCCTTCGTACTGGGAAACCCTAAAAAAAACCGACTGGTCCTTGTTTTCAGTACTAACATTATGAAAACTTTCACTATGTTCAGCTTTACCAGCTGGAGTCTTGTATCTCTTGCTCACGAATCTTGAAACAAAAAACATCGCTTGGCCAAAAATTTGGAGTAAAGATATCGTTCATTAGTTTGTAGGGCACTCCCACTTTGTACGACGAGTACTTATCCGGATATCTAGAGTTTAAGTTTTTCTACGGTGAACTCCTCTTCTTGGTAATGCCCTTTAAGGTAGTCCGTTAAGTCACTTGGTCCAGTTGAAGGACTCAGCCTAGAAACAAAAAGAGCTACACTTCTCTCCACAGATTTAAGGTTATGAGTCTTATCAGAAGTTTGCAGGCTCCCTGTAATAAACTTATTACTTCCACGCACAGATCTATTGTGTTGAATGTTGCTATGCTTGTCGTCAACAGACTTTTGACCCAATCTTGATTTATTTTTTGGTTTAAGCTCTGATTCATTGGGCTTAAGCTTAAACCCACCAGACTGAAGCCTAGGCCTATTTATGTTGCTACTCTCCTGAACAGCCGTTTTTTGGATGGGTTTCTTCATTGTGATTTCTGAGGTAACTTGGGACACAATTAATCGAGTCCTTAATACCCACGTTATCGTTTACAACATCGGTGATAACCGATTGAGTCGATTTTTTAACGTCTTGAGGTTGGGGATGGCTGATTTAGGTTATGTTGTGAAAGTTTAGATTGAAGTTCATCATAGTTCTTTAAAACTAAGTCCAATTTACTTGTAATCGTCAAATTAGTAGTCACTAAACCATTCACTACATTAAAGAGTTTTCTTAGCAGAGTCTTGTCCTTGTCGGCAGTTGATCTTCGTTACAAGTTTCCCTCATGTCAAGGCGGCACTTTTCACAGTACCAGAAAACACTACTTGAGAGTTTATTAATCACATCAAACTCTTTAACCAGTAAGTTGGCGCATTTAAAATGAAATTTTAATCCACAAAATGCCACCGCATCGCAGTGATCTGTCATTACTTTTAAATAATATTCGGCAGCTGCCACAAATCCAAGTCTTCACTAACCGCCATCTTGCAGACCTCACATCAAATGATAAAAACCTAGAGTGTACGGGCCGGAATTTTACCCCCGGACTTTTACCCCCTTCATGAGGTCAGCTCAAATTGTACAGCAGAGATTTTTAACCCCGGAATTTTACCCCCCGCATTTTTACCCCCTGGCCAGATATAAATGAGTGAGAATGGTTAATTCTCTTCATTCAGTTTTAATTTAATAGTAAACATTTTATTGTTAAGTACCGTAGCCTATCTTAATTTATTTGTAACATCAACTAATCAAAGAGGTTTTTTAATTTTAATTTTGAGATTAGAGTATCAGGATTTGATCAAACAAGCCAACTAATGGTTAATATGATCAAAATTAAACAGCTTTTACCCCTTCATGAGGTCAGCTCAAAATGTACGGCCCAGATTTTTACCCCCGGAATTTTACGTTCTTAGCAAATTCTGTTTACTTAGTTGAGATTACAAAATAAATAAATAAAGATAGGCAACTTAATAATAAAATGTTTACAATTAAATAAAAATAGAAATAAGAAAATCAATCATTCTTAATTTCTATATCCGGCCAGGGGGGTAAAAATCCGGGGGTAAAAATCCGGGCCCGTACATCTTCAGCTGTCTAAACCCTAGGTATATGGACAGGAGGTAAAACTCTGGTTTTTATTGCTAATCTAATTAATCACGCTCTGTATATTTTCATTAGACTTCCAAATCCGCGGGGGTAAAATTCCGCCCCCGAACAAACTTATGAGCGCTCAGGTTACTACGTCATAGTGACGTCAGCTTTGCCCAGGGGGTAAAATTCAGGGGGATAAAATTCCGGCAACCCATTATAATCCAAAAAGAGTTTTTGAGACACCAAAGTGAATATAATGTAAATATCTAGTATACTGTGAGATTAGAAATGTTGTTTGTTGTTTTGAATGTATTTCCAAGGGAGTTCATGGAAGCCAACGGTCATCTTGGATTTGCCCACTATAAGAGCAATGTTAATTTTACAGCCGCTAAAGAGTTATTTACCAACCTAAAATATATCTATCTATGAGATTAGAAATTTGCTTTGTAGGTTTTAAATTGTTATATGAGTTTAGAACGTCAAGGCTCCAAGGACTCTCAAGGCGTAGGATCCTTGACCTGTTATTCTTTATGTTTTACATGTCTCAAAATTATGTCTTCAAACTTTCCTAGATGATGTGATATTAAAAAATAATACAAATCATCGAAAAAAAATCAAATGTTCATAAGACTTTGCGTAGTCAAAGTAGGCAACATATTATTTAATACTTCAAGATTTTAATCCTCGTTATTGCTTATTAATTACATTTTGCTGAAAATACATGTAAAATATCGAGCAGCCATAGTTGGTAGGGTAAAAACGTCTGATAAATAGTCATCAAATCAAATCAAATCAAATCAAAATATCCTTTATTCATTTAAAGTACAATTGTACAGGAATAGAGTCAGATCTTACAAAATAAAATGTTTTACATTTAAGAACTAAAAATAAGACAGAATATTTATTTTATTTGTTCTCCCAAAACTCTTCAAGAGAATAAGGGGCAATTTTAATCAAATACTGTTTCAGACAATTTTTAAACTTTTTTGTATCATTTTCATTTAGAAGTCATGGTTTCTTACTTCTTGAATAAAATATGGAGTAATTAGTCCCTGGTAACATGTTTGTTAAAGAAAAAAAATACTCAAACTTCAATCAATTGTAAGCCTCGAATACAAATTTTAAAAATAAAAATTTGCGCGACCAGCAGGGCTAGGGCAGGGCCACGCGGCGGTGGTGAGACGACATGAGTGTAGTGCGAGTACTATAGCTGATCGAGAGCTAGTTTGGTTAGTGCTCAGCTTATTGCAAATTTAACGTTTTGTGTTGTAATTATTGAATCTGCATATATTGTTTTAAATTGCTGATTTGCATTAGTTTATACTGCTTATATAGGATTTATTTTTAATATATTTGTATTGTGAATATCTATTATTTTTATAATACTGTTATTTTGTTTAATTTAACAACTATCATCAAGACGCCACAGAGAGCGGCAAGTTGTTTTTCATGTGTGGACTGGACTGAAAATTTATAGAATGTACATTATATATATATTTTTTTTTTAACGTTGTCACATTAACTGGATGCTGTGGCAACGTAATTCCGAGTTTTTATTTGATTTGTATTTTATGTAATTATGGTGGAATAAATCATTATTTCATTATTTCATTTACCTTTCTGGATATTGTTGTTGCAGTGACAGCGACACATTGCATCCACTCTCCACTCCCCCACTCCCACCATAGCTAAGCTATCTATTCGTACCATAGACAGCGGTAGTAGAGGGGTAGTACCATAGACTGCCCCTCTACTACTCGTCTGCTCGCCATGCGCATGCGTCGAAACTGTTTCTAATCTTTACTGATAGATCGCACCACATGCTAGCGCTGTTCCGGCGCTGCTAGCCAACAAAATACTGGTGACAGGTCCAATAATATGGCGATGAAGAAACGTCTTCTGTATGTATATATAGTCAATGGTAGTAAATGAGTGCATGTGGTGAGATCCATCAGCAATATGGACTATAGTTCGGCCGCTTAGAAAACGACCTGTGCGCTAATGCTAAACCAATGCTGGAGGAGGTCGCTTTCTAAGCGGCCGAACTATAGTTGAATGTGTTAGACAACAACTCAAAGCAACCATCAGCAGTGGCTTAAATAACACCCCTGTAGCCCCCACAGTGCGGGGGGGGGGGGCGCCAAAGTACCGGTACCATTGTCACTGCACACCGTAATCACGAAAAAAGGTGACATTGTTTCCATGACGCCGGGAGACGAAGATGTTATCTTAAAAAAATAAAATATGTTGTTTCCGTGACCGTGGGAAACTCTTGAAAATAGAAAAAATTGGTTCCTTGTAAGATAATCTCAATTCATTGAGTATGTTTGAATATGGAGAAGTGTTATTAACTTAATGATTTAAACATTAACATTTAACATGTTTAAAATTTTTTTGTCTTAGCGAATTTCCCATATAGGGAATAAGCTATTACTGTAGTACTCATGGTAAGATATGTGTCCGTTAGCACGATAACTCGAGCAAAAATGATCCGATTTTGATGAAACCTACATTTATTCGAACGAGTTCGCGAACCAGCATAATCGGACTATGGGAACAGGGGTTTACGGGGGGTTTTATGGGGTAAAAATAGGTTTTTCCCATTTTTGACCCAAAAAACATAAAATTTAGCAATTTCTATCCAACCATTTTGTAGAGCTTAAAAAAACAAATAATTTAGTATATTGAAGCGTTATTATGCGCCTAATGGTGACGTAGAAAATATTTAAAAATGTAAATTTAAAATTCCCATGTTATTCTTATGGAGAACAAGTAAACTGTTGTAGTTTGCTTGTTTATGAACATATTTTGATCAAATTTGGAAAATGTTTTAATTTCTTACTAACTATTAACATTTTACAAAAGAAAACAGTTTTACCCTCCCTGATGCAGCAAACCTAAGTACTTGTAAAACTAATTCTATTTAAATAGGAAATAAATGTTATATTTTTAAGTATAGACATTTTAGTGTAAATCCAATCAGGCAAATGGAAATTCGCTTAGTCTGCAGGTTTGCTGCGGCGGGGGTATTTTGACCTTACAGCAACCGGTTTAGATAGAATAATCAATATTACCATTTTAATAAGGGATATATTTTTTCAGCCCAAGAGTAAAATTTATGCTAGACATTTTGTTGGCTGTGAAAAACAATAACATGGCAAAAATTCCACAATATGATCCCAGCCATAGTGAACACCTTAAGAAGCTTATGAAGACCATGATTCACAAGGGAAAGTACATTACTGAACTTAAAATCACATTGGAGGACCTATTGAAAGGTGGGGTTTTCATTGTTATCTGACAAAACTATTGATACAGGTAAGTGCTTACTAATTCACCACTGAAGGCTGAATTGCTATTGATGAGCAAACACGATTTTGTGAAGTTAAGTGTAACCTTAAGTGGACACATTTTTTGGTCCTTCTATCCACGCTTCTTCTGATGTGTAAAAAACTTACAAAGCAAAATTGGTTGAGCGGTTTTGTTTGTGTAGTCTAAAATGAAGGATGAAAACGTTTGTTCGTCATACTGCAGGACAACAACTATTTTCAATTCAGTAGAGAACCTCGATAGCAAGTATCTTATAGGGATTATCAAATAAGACGTGTTTTCAAAATGGACTTCTTATTATCTTTTTATTAAGTTCAGATTTCTTGCAATGATCAATAATTAAAGTTTATTTAACCCTTCCCGAGCGACAGCCTATATTATGTACGTCAACGATGCTATTCAGTTGCAAGCGTTGGCTGTGTATATACACAACTCAATCTGAAGGTCCAAGCGTAAGCGTAAACGCATATAAACGTCAAAACGTGTAAACGTCTATTAGGTATTTTAAATTTGTTTCTTGGCCGTCAAAAGTTACCTTAGGCAATCAGTATTATTGTTGGGATGACTTTGTTATTTTTTGTGCTAAATTTTATGATTGGTGGGTGGGCATCACTGATCTTGTAACATCTGTTGTTTACAAAACCGGCCGGCCCAGTCATCCTCATGTTATTGTTTCACACAGACAGTCTGTTTACGTGTTCTTGAGTGAAGTAATAAGATAAGTAGAAAATATTCAGTGCATTAAAATGTCTTGTGTTTATTAAAAATGACGTTTAGATTGAAATATCTGAATTTATTTTTTATCGTAGCCTACTGTATTATGATTAGTCTGTTTTATCTTTTGGTAATAACAAGAAGTCATATTGTTCTTAATTTTTATTTTACTAGATAACCTGTTGCTCGAAATCGAGCAAAACTGTAACTTGTGATAGAAAAATAAACAACAAAAACACAAACATCAAGACCTCAATCAAAGAGTCATTCTAAAGTCTATGACTGATTAAAGAAATATGAAAAATATTATGTTTTAAAAAATTATAAAAGTAGCCTACAATATTTAAATATAGATCCGCTCTCACACTGCTTTGATTATCTCTATGTGCAGTAGGCGGGTGCCCTCTATGAGAACGTAGATGTCAACCACACACTGTAAAGTGAGTTTTTAAGACCTAATGTAGACCTGTTCAGATATGTTAATGTAGATATGTCCAGACCTAAATCCCTCTTTTGACGCCAACCAGTACGACACGTACTATAGCTTTGTTAAATTATTACTACGGTAAGGTTCTGTTTTAGGCGTATTTAAATTAGGGGGTCCAACCAAAGTCTCCGGTTGGGAACATTAGAAGGTATGTAAGTAAATCCAACGACGGATCTAGAACGGATTCGCGTTTAACACTATTTTTTGAAAAAAGAAACTAAGATTTATTTGGCCAGGTGGTGGACTGTTTTCAGGCTTAAAAATTGCTGCGACATCTATCCGGGTATAGCGCTATTGTGGCTAGGAAAGTCACTTCTTTTGTCTCTTATTATGTACATAAGAATCTCACTTGACTCCTCGGAGCTCTCGTCTCTACACATTTCTGCCAAAGTTTTAAAAGATTGGGCAAATGGGTTGGCAATGTGGCCCTATTTCCCGCACATTTTTCATTGCATTCCTTCTTTCAATTGGGTTTCATGCGCTGTTGGGTGCCAACGTCGTACTTATACATCTGTGCGTGTTTAGGATGGCCTTCTTAAGGAATTAGATTACCTACTCGGAGGTAAAACGTGTCATGGATGTTGAAATTGTAAATCCTGGTGCTCTGATCTAAATGAGCTTCGGAGCTGACCTGGCAAAGGCGGAATTTAATTGACGAATTTCGTCCCAATAATGTCTAGATCTAGCCTCACAGCCCTGTTCTCAGATTGGGAGTTTCTAATAAGTTCTTAAAAGTATGATGAATTCCGCAGATGAGTAAAGGGTTCTCTCATTTGTGGCAACAAAGAGTAACAATTAAGTTTACTGTCTTGGCCAGTTTTTTGTGTGCTTAAAGGAAGCAGCCAAAATTTAAACAGTTTAACGTATTGGGAGGTTGATGCAAGTGGTCACGTTCGCATTTCCTCCAGCCACTCACAGTTCTTCGTCTTACAGGTGGCATTTAATCTTAAATTTAGATAAAATACGAAAGTTAAACCAAACAACATAAATCACTACCACGGAATTTTGATATACAGTGTAAATTACATGATATGGTAATGTAATGGGTAACTGCACTGTAAATAATCACTTTCAAAAATTCATTTCATCACAGCGAACTGAAACCAAAACAACACGATATTTTGGAAAATGCGATGTTAGGTAAATAAATTAAACTATTACAAACAATTTGTTTTCAAGTCTTGCTAGGACACTATTAATTTATGAATCAGACATCATTAATACACGTTTGAATACAAATATAAATTCCAGCTTTGCTCTGGAAGTAATAAGTCCTGCAGTCTGTGGTTAACCTCAAAAAGTATTTCAAACTACGTCCATATGTTTAGTTGTAAACAAAGGGAATTGAGTTTGATATAATGTCAACAGATGGCGCCATTCCCAAACTTTAGCCCTAAACTGTACTTAAGTGACGCCCTTTCTATATATTCTGAGACGTATTTGCACATCTACATGAAAATACCTTTAATTTGACACATCAAACGTTAAAATACGTCAAGCCGTTATCGTGTTATGACTGTGAAAAGAAAACTGCTTGTGTATTAATATATAGATTTGATTAAATTTTTCAAGAGTTTATTACAAATAAATGTTTTTCCTAAACAAAATTTACAATCTTTAGACGTTATATACATGCAACAGTTAAGGTAATAAAACTTATAAAAATACCTATTATTTTGATGAAAAATATATTTACAATAAACTTTAACTTTTAAGATCTTATCTTCGCATTTATTTAAGATATACAGTATGTGGAAAAATATCAAAATAAATTTGTTTAACCCCAACCAAATGATTTATCTCGTTGTGAATAGGGCTTCGCACTGCATCCGCCGCTCGGGAAGGGTTAAAATCAAAAGCATTTGAAAATACACTTATTATCAAGGGTGACTTCGTATTGAGGGCTTTGTTTTTTTAATTTCTACTTTGTATTGCAAGGCTAAATTAGTTTATTATCCTAAGTAAAAAAAATATATATTGAGCAGGATTCGAGCACAACAGCAGTCAATTCTTTCCTTTGTTATTGTTGTCAGCTGATATTTAATAAAATAGTTTCGATTGAACAAATATAATATAATGAGAAATCATTTATGCTAAACATCAAAATTAAAGACTCTTATAGCCGTTATAACCATTTCATATTTAAGTGTATATTTTTTCTGTGTCATTGGCAACCTTTTTCTGTGTCATTTTATGTTTGGTAGACATGGTTATTTTTATTGATAAATTCTTTTCCCTCCGTTACGTCTTTGTCTTAATTTAAATGAAACACTGTACTCTAGAAAATTATCTAGAAATCAACATTAAATAGGTCTATTATAAAGAGAACTAGCAAATAGTACCTATTCACTGTGAATGGTATGGTTTTTAGCGGAAGAGAGAGGTCGTTGGTGGATCGTAGGATCTGCTTGGACAGGAGTGGAGTCCACCCCCACCCCTAACTCTGCCACCCCTGCCTCAGACAGTCAATACAGCCAAACTGTGTTAGACTTGGCTCGTAAACAGAGGATGAACACTGACACTAGACGCAACATCTTCTGTATCCTCGTCACTGCTGAGGTTAGTGGGAATAGGAGGTTTTTATAACTTCAATATTTAAAAAAATGTGGGGTTGATTTTTTTGTTCTTTAAAGGTTATTTTTCAATTTTTCCTTTTGTTTTAAATTCCTTGTTTTTTTTTTTTAACCTTGCATCTGCCCATCCACATAGGCCTTGGCCAGAGCTTGTAATGTGTCAAGCAAAGAAATTAACGAGATGGTACAAGAATGAACAGCACTAGGCTGGGAACCAGGATTATTCCTGATATGGTGTGCCTATATATTAAAAAAGGTTTCCAAAATGTTTTTGTAGTATTACAATTCAACTCCATGCAGGGCTGGATTTCCCAATAGGCCTGAGAGGCCCGAGCCTATGGGCGCAAGGCGAAGGGGAATTTTTTTTAATGTCTACAAATAAAAATAAATAGCCATAACTTAAAATTTTTCCCGAATTGATCTTGAAAAAAATCAGGCAAATTGAGCATTTTGATGTTTTTAGGAAAAATAATTGTTGGTAAAGTTAAACTATTTCCAACATTACACATGAACTTCGTTACTACATTGGTCTTAAACACGGGAGAAGGCTGTAGGGATGTTTTGGAATGGTTCACATCGTATTTCCACTGCCACTATGTTCATGTGAGCTCTGCGCTACTACTCGAAGTGAATAGGGGCGCATTTGCGTGCTAATGTTATTGTTGAGACACTGTTACCACTCTTACCTCACAAAACAAAGGTTATTAACCAATCTTTTGATTTGCCTACAACAACCTGCAACACTTAATCTGGTGTTTATTGTAACAGTTATCAAGTTAAAATATGTCATTCAATAGAAACTGACTTTGTCTTTAAATCTAATGAAAAATGTATTAAACTTAGTTTGCAAGAGGTTAAATAAATGCAATACTCACTAGAGCACTATTTTTAATGACTTTGTTTTGCATTGTGAATATAATTTAGATGCAGTATTACTATGAGACTAGCCAAAACAAGTAGACTTCTCATTCCATTGTAAAATTGAAAAAACATTTTTATGTCTAGTTCATGGTGTTGACGAAATTTTTTTGATATTATTTCAGGGTTAATTTTATGATTTTGGTTTCAGTTTCTTGTAATAAAACCAGGGGACGAACTATTGTTTATGATTGGATAGTTTTATTCGGTTAAACGAGGTTTTAAATAACTGAAATAACAGGAATTATTTAGCTGATTCATAAATCTACTAAGAGGGTTTGTTTAATCTATGGTATCATAAACTGTACGAGTTCATGTTTTTGGTCCTGATATTTTAAGGCACGACGGCAGCAGCAATCTCCAAGCTTTGTTACAGGAATCGTTAAGACCTAAGGCTGGTTAATCGTTTTAATTCAGTCCCAAAAACGTGACCTCTCTATTTAATGCATAAAATTGCTAAAAGTGTTTGAGACGGCATTTTGTAAAGGCCAGAACCAAGTAAATTCTTCAAAAGACTTGCAATGATACAATTGCATTGTGGAGTGATTTTGGAATTTAAGCAATTATGATATAGGCCTAGTTTTTGTCAAAGGTAGTAAGAAATTAACTTCAACCAGTGTAGGGAATGGAAAAGTTTTTAGGCCTAGGGGTGCCAAAATGCTAAATCCGGCCCTGACTCCCATGTGTAAAAAAACCTTAAGTAAATTTTTGAAAGGGTTATGTTAACATTTTGTATCTGTTTTGAGGATTATTTTCATGTATTACCATTTACTTAAAGTTTTTGATATTAAATCAATTTCTGCTGCAACCTTACAACGATTTCTTGAATTAGTTAAGTTTGGTAACAAAGAACTTAAAAACTGAAAAGTTACAATTTTTATTCTATTCTAGAAATATATGTTGTCAGTTTAACTTACAGGTGATATATTTCTGAAATTAAAAAAAATTTAGGTTGGCTTACTTTTGATGACAATATAGTTGTTTGATTCTACAGGCGTTTACAAACTGAAACAATGTCTAAATAATTTAGACCAACAATTTCAAACCAAAATAATGAAAATATCGCTCGAAAATGAATAGTCAGACTGTTCGTTTCAAAACCAGGGTTAGCAATTCTTTTAGGGCACATTTTTTCTCCTAGAGATGATCCGGATGATTAAAATTTGGATGGTTGGAGTTATACTACACTTTCTTTTCATTTTTCAAACCAGGATACAATCATGTAAACTTTATCTAGGCCTACTGTGTTTATTTGTTACAATATTAATTTTAACAAGAGCTATGACACAGGACTACTTAGATGCCTTTGAAAAGCTGCTTCGACTCGGATTGAAAGCCCAGCAAGAACAAGAGATTGTGCATGTTATGGTACATTGTTTGATGCAAGAGAAAACTTATAATCCTTACTACTCCCATCTGGCTTCCCAGCTCTGTAAGGCGGACAGGAAACACCAGGTGATGAAAATAATGTCATTCTTTGTCATGCTATAGCAATACGGCTGTTTTCAATACATAGGCCTATGTTGTGGAAATAAACTACCCTTAAGTGCTCATACTCTTGGACATATCAGTTCTAAAATACCCCCGCCGCCGCAAACCTGCAGACTAAGCGAATTTCTATTTGCCTGACTGGATTTACACTAAAATGTCTCCTTAAAAATATCACATTTATTCCCTATTTAAATAACATAAGTTTAATGAGTAGTTAGGTTTGCTTCAACAGGGAGGGTAAAAAGGTATTTTTTTTTGTAAAATGTAATAGTTTAGTATAAAATGAATGCATTTTCCAAATTTGATTTTGATCAAATGAACATATTTTGATATGTTCATAAACAAGCAAACAACAACAGTTTACTTATTCTCCATAAGAATAACATGGGAATTTTAAATTTACAGATTGTTGGAGTTTTCTCTGTAACCATTAGGCGCATAAAAACGCTTCAATATACTAAATTATTAGTTTTTTTTAAGCTCTACAAAATGGTTTGGAAAGAAATTACGTTAGGTGGTTTGGAAAATTATTTAAGTTTTTAGGGTCAAAAATGGAAAAAACCAATTTTTACCCCATAAAACCCCCCATAAACCCCTGTTCCCATAGTCCGATCATGCTGGTTCGCGAACTCGTTTCAATTAATGTAGGTTTAAACGTTTGTACCAAATTTCATCAAAATCGGATGATTTTTGCTTGAGTTATCGCGCTAACGGACACATATATCTATATATATAAAATTCTCGTGTCACACTGTTTGTCTGCAAACTCCTCCGGAACGACTTCACCGATCGTTATGAAATTTGGTGTGTAAATTCTGTAGGTATGCGAATCGGACGTAAACTATTTCCCGTTTCGAAATTCTTAAAAGGGCTATGCCCCAGTGGCTCTGGAGTTTCCCATGTTAACCTTATGAGAAATGGAATTAATGAACCTTAACAGCTGTTTCAATTAAACAAGTTGGTTCTGTTCTATGATGTTCAATAGCATTAAAGTTACAAGGATTACCAACAGGGTGCAGCACTATTATTTCTTTTACATTTATGACAACAGCTAATTTGCAACCAAAAGGTGAGTGAGCGTAGCGAACGAGCTCCAACCTAAAGGTGAGTGAGCGTAGCGAACGAACTTCAACCAGGACGTGATTGAGCGATGCGAACATCTAACCTGAAGGCAAGTGAGCGCAGCGAACGAGCTCCAACCTAAAGGTGAGTGAGCGTAGCGAACGAGCTCCAACCCAAAGGTGAGTGAGCGTAGCGAACGAACTTCAACCAGGACGTGATTGAGCGATGCGAACGAGATCATCTTGAAAATTAAACGTAACGGTACTTAAATTATAAATAGTCAAAGGCAAGACAACGTCTGCCGGGTCGGTCTGTCTTAGGGGAAACCTATAACTAATGCGATACGAAGTTCGCCGGGTCAGCTAGTAAATATATATATATATGAATTTGAACGGATGGTGTTTTTGGTCTCTAGGGACCTCAAAACGAAAAAGTAAATCGGTCCTAGGTCCAGGTCTTGCCATGAGTACTACGGTAATGCTTATTCCCTATAGGGGAAATTCGCTAAAAGATGTTAAGGGAACTATTTAGAAGTCGGAGATTTTTTGCAGACGAAGATTTCCATTTTCTGGAGTCCTGTAATTTTATTTAATGATCAAAACATATAAATTTGTTTATTGTGTTATGATTTTTTGGTTGGTATTTTCGTTACAAAATGTCAAAGGAAATCAAATAACATCTATTGGACTCCTTGCCTCCAAGTCTCATCAGTGTGATTAAATGTAAACAAATATAGAGTAATTAATTTTCTCTTTAACCCTTAAACAAAAACACTGCGATGTATAGAATTTCACAACGTCGTGAAGTTTTCACTGTTGTCTACTGCTGTTTAGTCAATTGTGCAGCAGTAGGCTAGCACTAGCAGGAACAGACCGTAATCATAAAATCTCATTTGCAAACTTACTTAAAAAAAGTCTGTGTACTACAAATAAAAAATATGCTATTGTGTTTTTGTAGGCAAATGAGAAAATAATATGCCTAAAATTGAAGCTGATTAACATGGTAAAAATCAAATGTATAAGTAACTTCAACTTATATTATAATGGTAGTTATATTCAACTTATAATGTTATAGTATTTACAATGGCTTGTATTTTTCAGATGACCATCCAGTATCATGTTTGGGATAAATTGAAAGAACTCTCCAAACTCTCCCAATCCAAAATTGTAAACCTTGCAAAGTTTTTGGCACATTTGTTTTTGGAAAAAGCTCTTCCAATTTCAGTGTTAAAGGCAAGTATAAATTTGAATAACTCATTTTGGCAATTTTGTTGGTAACATTATAAGACAGGAGCCAAAAAAAAACAGATTTTTATATTAATTAATTTATATATTCCTTGAATTTGCAATGCAATTAGGGAGGCGCCCTCTGGAAGTCGGATGAAAATTATTAATGTAAGCATAGGTCACTAAGCACATCAAATTAAAAGACTTGATTAGCCAAATACAATGCCGCAAACTTAGCTCAAAAGATTAACTCAGTCAAAAATAGCAGCCATTCAAAGATTCAAAACGCAAATTCAACTACCGTATTCTTTATTGATTATTTTTTAGTCGATTGTCCATTACAGTTTGGGTTTGCAGCATTGTATTTTACTGACAAAGACCTTTAATTTGATGTGCATATCAACCTATGCTTACACACATTTAAGATTTTTTTCTGACTCCTAGAAGAGGGCCGTCCCCTGAGGAGGTAGCATATCACTGAATATTGTTTTAAATTGTTTTTTTAATGACCAGTGAATTTGTACCAAGTTTTGTTGCTCTATCTTTATTATTTTTTAAAATATTTAAGTGAAATATTTAAGTGTTCCGGGACTTTTCACCAACCATGTACAATGAGCTATAGTTAAATAGGCTTGACTATAATTGGAGAATTAGAGTAAATATCATTAGGGGCATATCCTATGAAACATCAATATGAAGTAGGCCTAATTGATTGTAAGTTATTGCTAGTTGCTACACTACTGTATGTTGGTCGATTCTTGGGACCTGTTGACCTTAAATTTAACTTGGGGTTTAAACGTAAGTAGGTCTACTACACTTTTAGAGTTTATCTTTACATATTAAATCATATACTGTAGTTATAGTATTTTTAAACATGCAAGACCTACACCGTACTAGGTTCCCTAGAAAATTAAATTTTAAATTCCTTACCTGAATTTAACACACTTGCTGCAGCCCATCAATGGCAGGCGTAGCCCTGGTGTGGCGCAGCATCAAACAAACCCGTTGCCGGGCGATGAGCTTTCAATTGAAATATTTTGGTCTGACTAATAGCAAAAAATGTGTGGTGATGGGCTGTGTTATAACGAGAATAGACGTAGTTCGCTAAAACACCCACAGATAGCAGCACTGCTTGGATCGTGGCCGACCCCATTGTATTGCCAATTGGAGGGAGAAAGACAACAAGTTGATTTCTGAGCTTGTTAGAGAGGGTTTTTACCGGGAAGTTTACTACCAACCTCAGCACAAATATCAGTCAAAAAATACACATTACAACACATAACAAAAGTCAAAACACAACGAAAACACGCAAGCGTGAACTGACCAAAACCCAAGTGCAGACTTTAAAATCCGTTAAAAGTTGAAGAGCGCCCGAACCGAGAATGGGTGGGAAAAACAGGTCGCTATTGTATTCACAGACAACGCTGAGCAAGCTGTAACATTCTCTGTCAAAGTCTAGACTCATACTGGCTATTTTTGTTCAACAAGGCTGGATGGCTTGGAACCAGTACATGCGCATGCACGAGATGCTCCACTTCTCCCAGATCCAAACCACCCGCTGCAAATGTGTTAAAGAAAAAATTGTATTGCACTAAGACTAAGTAGTCAAATTAAGGTTTTTTTTCTTGGTATTCTTTTTTCTCCCAAGGATTTGTAACTATTTCATAAGCCAGGACTGAGGAACCACATTATTCTCATTTGTGTCCTCTTCCCGTTGCGAAACACGGGTATAAAAACTCTCGTATACCTAAGCTTGGTGCAGTTTCCTTTAAAGACTAATCTTGAAATTGCAAATACGAATATTATGTCTGTTTCACAGGTGATGCAGTTCTCAGAGATGGACAAGTGTCACGTCCGATTGTTACGACAAGTGTTGCTCTCCGTCTTGTTGAGTGACTTGCCAGAAACAGTCTCGGCTGTGTTTTCTCGTGTTTCTCGTCCAGAAAAGCTCCACATGTTCCGAGAGAGTCTGCGTCTCTTTCTGCACCACTTTGTTCTCCGTAACGTCTCAGACTTGCCCACAGACCAGGCCACCTTGTTGAAAGATCGGGTGAAACTCGCCGAGACAGCGTTAATCCACAATGATGCCAAAGCAAAGTTTTTATAACGGTGGGTTCACTATTTTGTTCTGATTGTTGTAAATAATACAACTAGCTTATGAATAGTACGTTTTGGGAAAAACCAGTATACTGGTAGTCTGTGGCTTATAAAGTTTGTAATTTAAATTTGATAACTTGTTTATTTTAATATTATTATTATTGTTATTTAAGTTTGTAGTAAATATGTTCTATTAAAATATTTCATTTCTTTAGTGTGCTTTTTTTCTGAAAGCCGTATTGGGAATTGATTGAGGTATTGATAGATTCCTCCACTACTGTTAAAATATTTCTGTGAATAATACAAACCGATATAAAATATTTATGTGAACATTGTTTTAAAATATTTAGTCTAGCTAAAGAGAAGCTCTGTTTCATCAAGAACATGATTCTTTGATGGTTTTGCAACTAGACAAGGCCTACTTCAAGATAAATAATTAGCTGCTCTCTATTTTTCTGTGTTGTTAATTAATAAGGTAAACAATAGATTTAACTCAAGATATCAGGTTTGAAACCAACTTGTGCTTGTTTCAAATCAACAAATATTTTAAGACTTTGATATAAATTACCAATACATCTTGTATATTTTTAAATTCTGTCATTTGGATGCACATTGAAGATGATTCTGGAATACCATTGTTTACTTCACCGACCACAATGAAATAACTGTAAATGAAATAACTGTTCATTATTTGAAATAATGAATAACTGTTTACATTTTGTGTGTGTTTTATTATGTTTTATTAGTAGGCCTATACAATATATATATGCTCTCCAATACTATTTGTTTTGTAAGTAGACAAGTGAAACAAAGTTAGAAGGGGTGAACACAATTTTAAAATGTTTTATTATTACCTAAACCTGTATTAAAGCTTCACTAAAAGTTCAAAGTTATTGTTATTTATTCCTCAATAATTTTATGTTTGGTTTTTTTATCCACAATTAATTTTGATTAGCCACAATTACTAAGCCACTCATGAAAGTCTACTGTACTTCTATCAAAGTATACAAATATGCTCCCAATAAAAAGATAGATATCGCTTAAACATCTAAAAATGTTGTGAAAGGTTCTAAAAACAAAACAATCTTTTCTACACTTTATTGAACATCCATATGTTTTACTGGAATTTATTTACACATAAACAAAATTAACTAAATTTTATTTTACTAATTTAAACTTAACACTTTGTTTTATTTGATGCTTCTCTTCTTCATGTATAATATCTGTGTCACAAATAACTATGATCCCCAAATTTAACTTTTCTTAGTATGTCATTGTTAGGAGTATCATTTCCTATATTATCTTCAGTTTTAAAGGGTGTTGTTAACATTGAGTATTGTATACTGAATTTGTATCAATAGTCAAAGGTATTAAGCCGCGTTTATGTGTTTTCCAGTAGTTGCTGCAATTATTGGTTTTTTTTATATTGAATACATTACAATTACAACTTTTTTCTGTCTTCCACTTAATTTTGGTTTCCTGTGGAGTGTCAGTTTTTAGGATCAAAGAAAGTTGACAAAACTTTAAGTCGTCAACTTTGGTGTAAACATGCCTTTACCTACAGAATTAACGCATGAAAGATCTTTTACTTCTCATAAATGCATAAACTTTTACAGTCTTGTGCACAAAAATCTTGAACGGATTAAATAAAATTACAAATATATAGGTATACATGTGTGATAGGATTATGACTAATTACTACTCATATAAATTAATTATAGGCTATTACACATTGTCTTTGTTATGACACTTTAAACTAATAAGGATTGTAGGTGAGGAACTTAAGATCAATTTTAGTACTACGAAAAGCATAGTATGTTTGCAAATAATAAATTAATATCAAAATTTGTACATTAAATTAAACTAAATATCACAGTCAGAAGTATACGTAATGTTATCTTACTATATACATACAGCATATAAATCTTTAATTTAAAACACCTGAATCGGCACTTGTGTGGTTGATAATAGGGTAAAAGATTTTCGGAAACAAACAGAAAATTTTGAAAATCATCCAACTTTTGAGAAAGTCATTGACATATTTTTTGCTCAAAGATTGTGACAAAATCTTTTACTCAGAGTCTTTTTGAGTTTTCTGGTTTACTAGAATTTTTTATAGCTACCAATTGCCAAGCTACAAAAGTTCAAGAGGTAGCTGCAATAAAACTGTTTTCTGTGGGTCGTCAGTTAGGCCAAATGGAGGAAAAGTTGGGAAAAAAAGATTTTTTTCTTTAGTGTTTTAAAAGTTCCTTGTGCTCAAATAAGTACATTAACATAGATACTACTTTTTCCAAATAAAAGTCCAAAATAAATAGATACCTTAAACTAGAGATAGTCAAAACCAGAAATTTCAAATCTTGAAACCAAAACTTCAATTTGAAATATCAAAACTGAATTGCAAAACCCTATTTACTTGCCTAATTAGGGTTATAGAAAATAAATCCAAGTGGTAAAAGTTATTTCACAACTTTGTTCTCCTGCACTGTAGTCTGAATTTAAGCTATCTATTTATTTGACAACAGACAACTGGTATCAGGTTCGACCAATGACACAATGAATTTTTTCAATGCAGTTTCAAATTTCAATTCTAAAAAAAATTATTGAATCTCAAAACCGAAACTTCCATAAAAAGTATCGGTGGTTTGAGATCCAAGTTTTGGTTTCAACACATCAATTAGTTACTAGTCTAAGGCAGTTGAATCGTCTGTAGTTTTCATCACAGTTAGGTGCTGTGGTAACAATAATACTGATAGGATCAACTAATTCGTACGTCTGCTATAACCCCATCTTGTCCATGGTTTCTTGTATCCAAGGTGAGAAGTGGCTTACCCTGGTGTAAACTCCGGGGCGGTTCTTCTTGGCACAACCATCTCCCCACGACACAAGTCCCGTCAGAACAAACTTACCTGCAAAAAATGAATGCATAGCATAGAAGTTTGCTGGCGTAATTAATGTTAGAGGATTTATGTTATCAAACTGTCGGCTTACTCTGTGTGGAAAAAAGAGATTTAGCTACAGCAGAGTCTCACTTATAAAACAAAATCAAAAACTGGCTGTGGCAACGTTGCAGACACAGAAAAATCTGATTAAGTAAATAAATAAATAAAAACATTGTTAATAATATTTTAAGTCAATAAACTATGACCTATATTTTAATTTCTAATTTTTATTCTTAATCCAGTAACAATAAAACCTTGAAAATTAATTTAGTGACCAAATACTCTAATTGGCTTTGTGTTTCAGGGATGAGTTACTCACCATTGAGCTGGCAAGCTAGTGGACCCCCGCTGTCCCCGCCGCAAGCGTCCACTCCCCCCGCCAATGTCCCTGCACACACCATGCTGTCCAGGATACTCTGGTCTCTGCCCCCGTAGACATCACTCTGTCTGCAAGTGTGCTGGTCCAGCACAGGCACAGAGGCTGCTTGTAACTCATCTGATAAACTCTCCAGATCGTCTTCTGCAACAAAATTTTTATTTCATGAAATATCAAGGTCCATACAATAGAAACTGAATGACAAAATGTTCGATAACAAGGCATTCTTGTTAACAAAAGTAATTTTTAAATACGCTTGATATTATACCATCCTTAACCCTCCGTCGGTCGCACCAATTCTTTAGCACAACTGGTCGCACTATATCTCTCAGATACATTTTTCCTTGACAATTTTTCCTTGAGTGCTTTAGACATATATTTTCCCCCTAATTTTTATTTTACTTCATATAACAACTATTGACCTATAGATTTATACAGATTTCACGTCCTCTAAGCATTTCTCAATTAGTAAAAACAGATTTCAGACCACACACATTCCTGTATCCAATAGAAACAGTGCGAACATGCCCATGTCAAATTGAATTGCGACCAGTGCCACTTCAAGTAAAATTAAACTCAAAGTTTTCTTTGCTGGGTAAAAACATTTTTATTTATTTATATATTGAATTACATTACCTAATTTTTACATGATATTACACAGATACATCTCACATAAAAACAAGATCGGTTCCATTTTTATTTTGAGATACGGTACATCACAAAATAAAAACAGGACAGGTCGCACTGTATCTATCAGATACAACGGAGCAAACAAGGCATGTGTGCACTGGACAACGCTAACAGGTGAGTGGGGGAGGGTATGAAACAGCACACTGGCCAAGACCGGTTTTGGGACGAGGACACAAAAATGGCGGGTATTTTTCATGTTGCGGTACAGTATCTAATAGATTAGGTGCGACTGATGGAGGGTTAGTCACTAAAGTTACCGCAAACCTCATAAGAAGTCAACCTTGATTACAAGTCTTATTTGATAATCCCTATGAGAGACTTATTATCGAGGTTCTAGGGTATTTGTTATCAAAATTTGTATTTGAAAATTCCAATGTTCAAAAAACATGTTCTTAGTTTGGTTTACTGTATAAATACATTTACTATTTAATTTTTTTAAATAAGTACCGTTTGAGTGTAAATATATCAAGTAGTATATGATTGGAATTGATCTACACATGACATAAGATCTATTTTTCCATCTATTTTCCATTAATTGTGAAGCATTGCAAATAACAGAATTTTTTACTGCTGGTATTTACATGAAATTGTTTGTGCTGTATTCTGTAAAAATGTAAATATAGGTTTTTAATCTTTATAACCTGGTCGAATTACTTTTATAACCTCCTCTAAATTATTATAGTCTCGTAAACTGAACATCATGATATAAAACTGAAACTTTATATCATATTTTAACTGCGGTCGCTGCCCAGTTTCAGTTTTAGAGCAACAAAGTTTGAGAAACAAAGTATAAGGATTTTTAGGCTCCATTGACTTTTATGAGTCTAAGTAGTCTTAGAGGCGGTCACGAGTACGGGGTTTTGTGGCCCGTAGTTATCGTTGATCTCAGTCAATTTTAGCCGACAGCCAAAAAATGGGTTCACGACATAAAGCGTTAGTCAAGATCAACCTTAGCTGAGACCAACGATGGCCATTGCTCAACAGCAGGGATTTTACGGGGAACTTTGGTTATAAGGTTGGCAACAGCCATGGGTTTATCTGTCTGGTTATATCTGGATTTAGCGCTGGGACTAAGGATAAACCGTGTTGTAAAATCTGAAGCTTGCTTTGTTTGTGTTTAGTGAAAATTTTTGGTACGCTAATGCTGACTAACTTAAATATTTTTCTTTAATTTCAAGATAGTGTACTTAACACTTTAGTTGTAATACTATAAGTAAAGCATTATTTCATTAATAGATTGTAATTGTTGGAAACAATTTGGAAATTGTTTGAATATGAACCTGTAACAAAAAGTAAACAATACTTCTCCATATAAATAAGATGGAATGAATCTTAAAATTGACTTCAGCTGACCATAATGAAAATAAATCGTATTTCAGTTTTTTGCACATGTGAAAAACCGTCTCGCCCTTGTTTACAAACATTTCATAAACTGAATGGAAAGTACTTTTTCCTACAGTCACTCGACAAAGTTGGCTTCCTTGTACTGTTTATAGTACAGAAAGCTGCTAATTGCTGCATATTTATACTTTGCTGTACGGTTTATACTTTGTCGTACGGTTTATACTTTGCCGCACATCAGGATTCCAACGAAACAACACAAATCAGCATGGTTCTACTATTCTACGTAATCCTTGTACGCTTGGAAATAGGTTGACAACACTTAAAGATAATAATACTATGAAGAGCTGATAGACTATTATAACTACGATTTAACCTGTCATTTCGTGTTTATAGTTTCGGTATTTCTGAACTTTCTGGACTTTTCTTATAAAAGTTTTTAAAACATTCCTACGATCTTAATACACAAGAAAATACCTTTAAAGCATTTTTTTAGGCGCGGAAACCACTTCAAATTACAAAAACATACGGAACTATATTCTCAAAACGCGGAGCACATTTCTTGCCGAGGAAAAATAGCGGAGTGATATGGACCGCAGGTACTACTTTCTCTAATTCACCATTTGTGTTGCCAGCTGAACCTAAAAACGTGTTGTATAGTGTTTGAAAGACTAATCATTAATATGCTTTATAGTGACTGTAGGAAAAATATAATGTGTAACACGAGTGAAAAAGGCCTTTGCTGCACTCGAGATCATTCCGCACTCGCCTGCGGCTCGTGCGTAAACGTTGCTCTCGTGTGCAGCAAAGTGCCACTTTCACCACTAGTTACACAAATAACTATTTATACCGACTTGGACTCCCTTCTTCTGATATTTGTTCGGTTCTAATGTTGGAACAATTATTGCTAGGTTTGTTCGTACACTCCTTCCAAACATTAGGTGATATGCTGATGTACCTGTTGAATTCGGGGATTGCCTGAGTTGCATTAGAAGTCTTTGGATTTTATTTTGCAGTGTACCCTTTTCTCCCTCCATGGATTTTAACGCCTTCTTGACAGTCTGCACGTACCTTTCAGCCTGGCCATTTGAGTTTGGATGGTATGGTGCCGTTGTTCTGTGAATAATCCCACATTCAAACATCGCTCTCGTGTGCAGCAAAGTGCCATTTTCACCACTAGTTACACAAATAACTATTTCCTAGCGCACCACTGGGTGGGTGTTTTATATATAATCCCGATGCTAGAAAAATCTGCTTCTGTGCATCTTTTTGTTTGGTTTTTCCTTGTGCAAGGGACTGTACTCCCAACAGATTTACAGAGTAAGACTTGACTGTTAAAAGGAGAAAAAGTTAATTTTACTTTTTGATAAATTTGGGTATTTTAAATGCTCTACCATGGATTAAACATGCTTGTACGTGTTTGGTTACATGATTGTACTTACGACTCTGAGCGCCCCAGCCTGTGACAGTACACCAGTCTCCAGTGGCCACCCTCTGAGTGACCATATCTGGCAGACAGATGGGCTGGATGTGAGAGTTGAAGTGGATACCTCCCTCACTTGTGGCTCTCACCTTGATCATGGCTATGTCATTGCTGTGAGGGCCATCTGCAACCAATCACCCTTCATACTCCAATAGCCTATATGTCGGCAAGATCAACTTATCTTCTACTCACAACTATCAACTAAGTGAGCAAAACTGACAAAAACAGCTGAAACCAAACCTGACATTCTGCATCTTGAAGGTAAAGTTTAACTATGCTTGGGGGTTCAGGTTGACCAGTGTTGATAGTGCTGGCTGTCAGGTTTGATTAATTACAATATGTGCCTAATCAATTTCATTATTCAAAACTAATAAATTTGCCTGTGATTTTTAGGTATTGGTGGTCTTAGAATAGTGTTATGTTGGACAGTACCTTTGGCCATATAAACAGTAGAGACCATTAATGATAAATTTATCTAGCATGCTGTGCTAAAGACCAGTACAGCTAGTTAAGACCACAAATTACTTATACTCTTTATGCTGAATGTAAATGAAGAGGCAATTGTTAAGTTTAGAACAGAGTGAGATTATCTGTATAGCTTTTGTTACTGTCTAAATAAGCTGTTTCTTTAATACTAGCTGTTACGCACAGGCTTCACCCTGTTTGATTTCATTATTCATACAATTTTTGATTTGTTAAGCTGCAATAAACAAAACATAATACAATAATACAAACAATCACACCTGATTTTAATAGCTGGGGTATTTTTAACATTAGGTATATGGAAAATTCCCTTTAGAAAGGAATTACGACCTTAAAGGGCAATTTATGAAATAATGGATAGTTTTGCGCAAGGTTTCTCATGACGAACATTTTAAGTATGGTTTATGGGGGTGTGACTTGTAGATTTCTCAAATGTTCATGGGTACTTTGGGATTTATATATGGATTTTGGATCAATAACTTAGCAAAAACTTGCTGTGTCAGTCAAACCTTTTGACTATGTGCACCAGTTTGGAATGTAAACTTTGACTTCAGTTCAATAGTCAATGATTTAAATTAACATAGCTGAATTGAGCCACTTAACACACTGAATGCGCACTGATCACGATTGAACATGCTAACTTTTTCACCAAACCAACATTAAAGGGAAAAGAAATAGCATATTTTATGTCGAAACAATTATTGCAGTAACAAAAACTAAGGCAGAAAATATATTTTTAAATCGCCGAAAAACGTGGGAATCAATCATCTTTTAGTACCAAATTGGCTACAGCTAGGTATATCTAGTGCGGCCTTGAGCTAGCCCATGTGGATGGTGCATCTATTTCAGCCTCCAAAGGTCAATAATGAAACACTATACTCATAAAACATTGTCTCCTACCTTTTCTAAAATCAGGGTGGATGACTATCTTCTCTGGTTTGTAAGTGCGTTCGTGTCTGTCGCGAGAGTTGAGATTCACTTTGCCGAGGATGAGTCTGATTTTCTCCGGGTACTCGAGGTTGGCTATGCAGTGAGCTGCTGTCAATATAAGTCTCTCTCCCACGACTGCTCCCCCACAATGGTGTTCAAACCTGTGACTAGCCGACCGGTAAGCCTGGATCTCCACCTAAGAGATTTAAGAGGTCTTGGATTTAAATTCCATTTTAAGAAGCCATTTTACACATACTCTTTACTCTAGGTGTGTACCATTGTTCACTTAAGACCCGTAACCCATTACACTCTGTTCACAAAATTTAGGCGGTTTGAGAAGAACTTCCCCAACCACTATTTTGTGCTTTACAGTAATGTTACATCATCTGTTAAGCTACTTCTATTTTAAAGGTAAGGGTCAGGTGGAGGGGATAGATTTCTTCCTCTAAAACCGCCAAAATTTTGTGAACAAAGTATAGTTCGAAAAGCTCAGATGTAATATGAGTTAAAAGTTGTATACTAATTCGTGTGTCTCAGTTTCACTTTAATGGATTGTTTTTACGTATAAGGCATCACTTCCCAGCCAGGTTACAGCACTGTACTATTTAGTATACAGGGTGATCAACTCAAGGAGGCCACCGTTGGGATATCGGAAACGGTAAAAATTAGAGAAAACTTTAAATGGGGTATATTCCTTTATTTTTTGTGGCAGTTAAAAATATGATTTTATTTTTTTGAAATTCAGCCGCCATTTTCCAAAATGGCGGCCAACTTTGAAATTTCTTATGGAACACCCTATATTTGATCATGTTTTCGGATAGAACAGGCAATTTAAAAACTTTTTTATTCTTGACATTTTTTCGATAAACCCACTCGTTTAGGAGTTACAGCCTGTGGAAAAATGACTTCCGTTGTACATTTTACATCATGTAGCTCCTAAACAAGTAGGTTTACAGCGAAAATGCGAAGAGTAAATAAGTCAAAGAAGTCTTAAAATTGCATCCACATTCCAAAAAGACCATAAAATTCATTAAAACTATTAATTCTATTATTTCCAAAATGGCGGCCATTTTCCAAAATGGCGGCAAACTTGAAAAGTGGAAAAATGTGTATTTTATGGTCTTTTTGGAATGTGGATGCAATTTTAAAACTTCTATGACTTATTTACTCTTCGCATTTTTGCTATAAACCTACTTGTTTAGGAGCTACATGATGTAAAATGTACTCGGAAGTCATTTTTCCATACCTAGGCTGTAACTCCTAAACGAGTGGGTTTATCGAAAAAATGTCAAGAATAAAAAAGTTTTTAAATTGACTGTTCTATCCGAAAACATGATCAAATATAGGGTGTTCCATAAGAAATTTCAAAGTTGGCCGCCATTTTGGAAAATGGCGGCTGAATTTTGAAAAAATAAAATCATATTTTTAACTGCCACAAAAAATAAAGGAATGTACCCCATTTAAAGTTTTCTCTAATTCTTACCGTTTCCGATATCCCAATGGTGACCTCCTTGAGTTGATCACCCTGTATAGGGCTTGCTGGAACAGTTAACCAGACTGGCAGAGGTTCATGGGTGATGCCTACCTGGAACCTGGTGCATAGCTGGGTAAAAATGGGTATCATAATAATAGTAATATTAGAAATGTGAAAGTTTGTGTGTTTGTTTGTTGGTTGTTTTGTTTGTTTGTTTGAAGTTCAATAATGGATTAACTACTAGTTTGGTTGGGCTAAAATTTGGTATAATGATAGCTCACATTCCCAATGAACATACAGACATATTCTTATCTCAAAACCCCTTTCAGGCTCCGCCCCAGTAGCTCTGGAGTGTCCCAGGTTAACCTTATGAGTATTCATATTTAAAAGAAATTAAAGAATTTTGTCAGCGCTGTTTCAACTACACAAGTTGGTTCTATGATATTCAATATCATTAAAAAGTTATAACGTTCACCACCAGGGTGCAGTACTACTATTATACGGCTAATTTGAACCATAATGAATACAATGTATTCATTGTTTGAACCAAGCAGCGACAAAAAGCTGTGATACAAAATGAGAACTGTAAAGTAGGATTGTTTACTGTTAAGTTTATGTTTTTAATTAATAGTTATCTTTTGATATTGCGAAAATATTCAATAATTAAATTTTTTTCTTTAGGTTTAGTGGCAGAACATGTAGGCTATGGTAGATGTGTCATACCATAGCATACTGTAAATTAAAAGAGCCAAATTTTCTCAAACTGTTTCCTCTCCCATTGCAAACCCTAAGCACGAGTATAACTGCAATAAGCATTTTATACCTATACACCAACCCCGTACGAAGGACGAGTACTCCTACAGTCAAAAAATTCATTAAAATATTAGTAGAGGTGTGTGATTTTCACTTTAATATATGGAAACATTTCCGGGGAGGAACCCCCGGACACCCCTTTTCGATTGGGGGTATTCCATAACCCCCGGTAAGTCCACCACTGTCGCCCAGTGAAAGTCCCATAAAATATGCTCTGTTCAAAATTGTTTTCAGGTGGGGCTTTTGGAAGCAGATTTGTATTGCAAGACCCTGCCTAGAGTACAGTATTGACACTCTACCTGCCAGGGGTAAGCTCCGTAAGGTGCTGAGGTCCCACCCACTATCTTGGCGAAGGCCCTGCCTAGAGTACAGTATTGACACTCTACTCACTACTGTGTCCTACCTGCCAGGGGTAAGCTCCGTAAGGTGCTGAGGTCCCACCCACTATCTTGGCGATGGCTCCTAGAGTACAGTATTGACACTACTCACTACTGTGTCCTACCTGCCAGGGGTAAGCTCCGTAAGGTGCTGAGGTCCCACCCACTATCTTGGCGATGGCTCCTAGAGTACAGTATTGACACTCTACTCACTACTGTGTCCTACCTGCCAGGGGTAAGCTCCGTAAGGTGCTGAGGTCCCACCCACTATCTTGGCGAAGGCCCTGCCTAGAGTACAGTATTGACACTCTACTCACTACTGTGTCCTACCTGCCAGGGGTAAGCTCCGTAAGGTGCTGAGGTCCCACCCACTATCTTGGCGATGGCTCCTAGAGTACAGTATTGACACTACTCACTACTGTGTCCTACCTGCCAGGGGTAAGCTCCGTAAGGTGCTGAGGTCCCACCCACTATCTTGGCGAAGGCCCTGCCTAGAGTACAGTATTGACACTCTACTCACTACTGTGTCCTACCTGCCAGGGGTAAGCTCCGTAAGGTGCTGAGGTCCCACCCACTATCTTGGCGAAGGCCCTGCCTAGAGTACAGTATTGACACTCTACTCACTACTGTGTCCTACCTGCCAGGGGTAAGCTCCGTAAGGTGCTGAGGTCCCACCCACTATCTTGGCGAAGGCCCTGCCTAGAGTACAGTATTGACACTCTACTCACTACTGTGTCCTACCTGCCAGGGGTAAGCTCCGTAAGGTGCTGAGGTCCCACCCACTATCTTGGCGAAGGCCCTGCCTAGAGTACAGTATTGACACTCTACTCACTACTGTGTCCTACCTGCCAGGGGTAAGCTCCGTAAGGTGCTGAGGTCCCACCCACTATCTTGGCGATGGCTCCTAGAGTACAGTATTGACACTACTCACTACTGTGTCCTACCTGCCAGGGGTAAGCTCCGTAAGGTGCTGAGGTCCCACCCACTATCTTGGCGAAGGCCCTGCCTAGAGTACAGTATTGACACTCTACTCACTACTTTGTCCTACCTGCCAGGGGTAAGCTCCGTAAGGTGCTGAGGTCCCACCCACTATCTTGGCGAAGGCCCTGCCTAGAGTACAGTATTGACACTCTACTCACTACTGTGTCCTACCTGCCAGGGGTAAGCTCCGTAAGGTGCTGAGGTCCCACCCACTATCTTGGCGATGGCTCCTAGAGTACAGTATTGACACTACTCACTACTGTGTCCTACCTGCCAGGGGTAAGCTCCGTAAGGTGCTGAGGTCCCACCCACTATCTTGGCGAAGGCCCTGCCTAGAGTACAGTATTGACACTCTACTCACTACTGTGTCCTACCTGCCAGGGGTAAGCTCCGTAAGGTGCTGAGGTCCCACCCACTATCTTGGCGAAGGCCCTGCCTAGAGTACAGTATTGACACTACTCACTACTGTGTCCTACCTGCCAGGGGTAAGCTCCGTAAGGTGCTGAGGTCCCACCCACTATCTTGGCGATGGCTCTGTGACTGCTCCTTTGTGCATGATGTGAGACGAGACGTCCTCCACACTGTTGTAGATGTCGTCGAGCCAGAGGGAACTTTGGGAATCCTCCACTGCGACCAAAAATGTCCCGTCCTGCATCAAGATTAAAAATTAAATTGTTTTTCTTCGTCTTTCCAGGGGGAGCTGGATTTTTCAGATTAAGGAAAAACGTAATATGAAACTCACGTATCACAAGTTTTAAACAGATTGTAGAGATAAATGAGTATATTTCCAAAGTTTTAAACAATTTTCCGGCATCTGAATTAGACAGCCAAAAATTGTGTAGGCTAATAAATAAAGTGTTTAACATTAAAATTGCTCATGCTAATGAAGAGGGGCCTTTTCTTTCAACTCTTGGATTAAAATGCTAGTTTGCCCCTCTCCCCCCGTACATCTGCATAGGAGCCCATGTAGGTAGACCATGCAGGAATCCATAAGAGACTTTAAACTATTGATTAACTGTGTGATCAAATTGCTCCTACTTTGCTGTTTCAGAGGCAATATCAATTTTTAAAGAGGAGTTGGCAGCTTGATTTAATCTTTAATTTTCCCATCTACATGGACCTCTGAAACCTTCTTTGAGTGAAATGTATCAAGCAAAGTATGGGGTAAGGTACAGTACTAGTACAAGAACAAACTGTATTGAGTTAAATGTTAAGTAGTTGCACTAGGATAGTAATAACAACACCCCTGCTTATTTCACAGTCCATTACGCTACTGACTCACCCAAAGCTTTGCATTTGTTATTTACTTTGTTATACAGTATCTACTTAGGGCTATATGAAAAAATTATAAATACTCACCAAATGGATTAGCCGAAACTGTGATAAGTATGAAGATTCCAAAGATACAGCTAAGAGAATATGTCATCCTTCAGTAAAGATTTTTTCATACAGTTTTCTAGAGTCAGCAGTTTAATGTTCTTGGTATGGAATCTGGAAAAAAAATTACTATCGATACTTTCATATTGATAAATACCCCCGCCGCAGCAAACCTGCAGACTAAGCGAATTTCCATTTGACTGATTGGATTTACACTGAAATGTCTACTTAAAAATATAACATTTATTCTTGATTTAAATAGAATTTGTTTAACAAGTACTTAGGTTTGCTGCATCAGGGAGGGTAAAACTGTTTTTTTTTTTGTAAAATGTGAATAGTTAGTAAGAAATAAAAACATTTTCCAAATATGATCAAAATATGTTCATAAACAAGCAAACTACAACAGTTTTTTATTCTCCATATGAATAACATGGGAATTTTAAATTTACAATTTTTTTGAATTTTCTCCGTAACCATTAGCCGCATAATTACGCTTCAATATACTAAATTATTCGTTTTTTAAGCTCTACAAAATGGTTTAGAAAGAAATTGCTAAATGTTATGTTTTTTGGGTCAAAAATGGGAAAAACCTTTTTTTACCCCATAAAACCCCCCTAAACCCCCGTTCACATGGTCCGATCATGCTGGATCGCGAACTCGTTTGAATAAACATACGTTTACACGTTTGTACCAAATTTCATCAAAATCGGATCATTTTTGCTCGAGTTATTGTGCTGACGGACATATATATATATGAATTTGAACGGATGGTGTTTTTGGCCTCTAGGGACCTCAAAACGAAAAAAAAAATCGGTCCCGCGTCCAGGTCTTACCATGAGTACTACGGTAATAGCTTATTCCCTATATGGGAAATTCGCTACAAACTAATATTTCTGAAAAAACTTGTATGAAAGACTTATTGTGTCCTAACTATACTATGCCATTTATTTTAAATAGCAAGTTCTCATCCTCATATAAAATTTTATGCAATGCCTTCTTATTGTGTGTTTTATGCTGGCGAAGGCTTAAGCACTACCATATATGGTTTTAGAGAATTTCCCATATAGGGAATAAGGTATTACCGTAGGTGTCATGGTAAGACCTGGACCCGGGACCGATTTACTATTTTGTTTTGAGGTCCCCAGAGTCCAAAAACACCATCTGTTCAAATTCATATATATACTTATTGTGTCCGTGAATTGATATATGTGTCCCTTAGCACAATAACTCGAGCAAAAATGTACGATTTTGATAAAATTTTGTATAAACGTGTAAACCTACATTTATTCAAACGAGTTCGCGAACCAGCATGATCGGACTATGGGAACAGGGGCTTATGAGGAGTTTTATGGGATAAAAATGGGGTTTTCCCATTTTCACCCTGAAAACATAATTTTTTTTTAAATTTCTATCCAAACCATTTTGTAAAGCTCAAAAAACAAACAATTTAAAATATTAAAGCGTTGTTGTTTGCCTAACGGTTACAGAAAAAATTCCAAAAAAGTGTAAATTTAAAATTACCATGTTATTATTATGGAGAATAAATAAATTGTTGTGGCTTCGAAAATTGTCAATTTCTATACACCAAAAACAAATAGATCAGCTGACTTAACCTGACATAAACATTACTTTTGCTACACAAACAATACTTTGCCTGACATCAACAAAGTTAGAATCTGCTGAATTGTACCCTAAAATTAATGGTACAGCCGTATTGTGTTTATATTAGAAAAATGAATGTATTACGAAATATCAGATAATTAGTTTAAGTTTGATGAAGTAGTTTTTTTATCATGATAAAAAGTATCGTTGATCAATACTCGCCACATAAGTCCCATTTTGGGGCTTGATAGTGTTTCCCATGGTCGTCTTCGAATCACATGTAAAACACTATCTCGCCCCGGAATGGGACACTTTCGTGACTAGTTAGTAGTGAAATATACTATTACTTCATACTTTGCTATTAATATTTCAATAAAAACACATTTTGTCTCCCTGTAGCGGCAAACCTAAGTACTGATATTTAAAGGAGATAAATCTGACAATTTTAAGGGATTAAATTTAGTGGAATTCCAGCCAGGTAGATGGAAATTCGCTTAGTCTACAGGTTTGCTGCGGCCCGGCGGGAGTATTTCTCTTTATTATATTCTACAATTACCTCATTTTCGTTTTCGCTGAAAAACCATTAGGAAAGAAATACTTTTTGTACATTGTTTCATTTTGATCAAAATAATTGTTTTAATTAAATAATAAAGATGAACAATAAACAATAAGTGCTCTATACTTAGTGGAACTACAGTAGGTAATCTTGTTAAAACTAACACCAGCACCAGCTGAACGTTTGAGTAGTTAATCTATACTTACTAGTATCCCTTTTGCTCGAATTCGAGCAATTGCTAAGTATTACAGGTGTTATTTTAAAACGAATAACAGTCATAGTTCTGATGACTTTAAATGATTCAACTCAAAGGTTATGGAAATACTCAAGATGTAAATAACAGATTATATCAATTTATCCAGGCTCTCTCGCTTTTTTCCATTGTAATATTTACGCCAACTCAAATTCAAATAGTAAATATTTCATTTCAACCAAGTCAGTAAATGTTTGTAGCAAAACTGTTAAATTAGCAAACTTATTGATTGTTTACAATTAGCATATCTTCTTCTCACTTTTAATTTCTGACAACAGCTGGTTTCTTTCCCATGTTAATCTTATGGAGAAATACAAAACTTTAAAGGGCCCCAGGGCCTCACTCCCTAATTATTTCCGTAAAAAGAAAGTTTGTCGCACAACTTCACTACACTCTTTCCAATGACACCAAAAACATGTCAATCGGTTCAGTAGTTTCGGAGGAGTAATTGTCACAAAAAACCTGCTTGCCTATTAAATAAGTATATATTATGGAATATTTTGAAGTAATCTATTATTCACACCCATAGCCTGTTCTGAAGTAGAACTAATACCAATAGACCAAATAAATATTACTCTAAATTAACAAACAATACTTAAAATGCAAATGTTTGAGAAGTTTCTCATTTTTACAAGTACAATAGGATATATTTAAAACTATAAGTCTTTCAAAAACATTTTTTATTGAAACTTTATTATTATTTCCATCTGAACTGAATTGCTCCTTCATGTATAAGTTAATCAATGTGCACCCTTCTGTAATGGATGCTACAAAAATATAATCTTAAACTTAATTGATTGATCTAGTATGGCTATGAGATTTTATTAGAATGTAACTTTAAAATATCAACATGTAGAAGAACATTTTGAGAACATATTGTTGTATGATCAACTCAGTCTTGTCTTGACTAATCACTCACAACTGCAGCACGTACTACATTTGCAACGAATCAAATGTTGGCTAAGGTTAATGAATGACTTCTGAATAAATTACTCAACTATTTAGTCTATATAATTGTGTTTGTTTTGTAGCAGTATGTGCGGCGCCGGCCTAGTGGAAGGTTAGGTTATAACAGGACGCAACTGCATATCCTGAAATCAGCTGATAAGTGATCAGCTGTTACCGCTGTGTCGATCATCTGATAAACGACGTTCACTTTCAAAACTCCAGCTTTTACTTCAACATAATTCACCTATTGAGAAAGATTTATCAAAGCCGGCGATCTACATCGGGAGGACATTTTAGAATCAGCTCATTTCAATCGTTGATTATAGTAGTGTTGTTATTTTACTATAGGTTCACAAGGATTTCAGATTGCACAATTTTTAGCCTGAAACTTCATGAAGTACAGGGTGTTTTCTAAAAGAATCATCCGATTTTAGCGAATTTCTCTATAGGGAAGTAGCTATTACCGTAGGTCTCATGGTAAGACTTAGGCCCGGGACCGATTTACTTTTTCATTTTAATGTCCCCAGAGGCCAAAAACATCATTCGTTCAAATTTTTATATATGTATATATGATATATATATATATATCATATATATATAGATTTATATATATATATATGTGTCCGTGAACACGATAACTTGAGTAATTATTATCCGATTTTGATGAAATTTGATTTGAAGGTGTAAGGCGGGATAAACTTGAATGAGTTCGCGATCCAGCATGATCGGACCATGGGAAC